TCAGTGTCTCTTCGTGGTATTGGATATGCGTCGCCTCCTTCAGCTGGCACCTCGTGGTGATAGGTGGGAGGCGGTGGTTGGGGTGGGTCTGACTTTTCTCTCAGGTCGGCTTGATAGTGTGGTTTCAGTTGGTTATAATGGGCGGTGTTGAAACTTCATTAAGGTCACTGCAGGTTCCAAAGAACGTATGTAGTTGGTGGTCGGTGTTGGACGATCTCTGAGTGTGAATAGAGTGGGGCACCAAATCGAAACACCCATGTGTCAATGAATTCTGCTGTGGTGGTACAGCTTAGCAATATTCGATGAAGTATTCCACCATGACAAGGATATTCCGGGTGCCTCGTCTGGAAGCTTTAAGTGGTCCCATGATATCTATGCTCACTCAGTGGTTGTGGGCTTCGGTAAGCATGGGCACTAGGGTTGCTCATGTAATCTGAGGAGGCTGCTTGATTTGAACACATGTAGCGCAGCTGTGACAGAACTCAGTGTCGTCGTGATGAAGTAGTTGCCACCAAAATCGTTGACGGATGGCATGTTCAGTTTTTGCTGACCAGCACGACCCTGTAGACTGTATAAAAGATGAATCACCACTTGAACTGTTACACGCGGGACTAGAAGACGAGGCGATGAAGATGGTTTCATGATAAATAAGACATCACCTGGCAGTCGTGGTACACCCCACTTAGTTCAGATACAATGTGTTGTGTTGGATAAATCCCGTAGTTCTCTGTTCCATGGTTTATCATTTCCAAGAATTTGGTGAGACTAAATAAGCTGTATGCCAGTAGCAGTTGGTTCTAATGAGGCTCAGTCGACATCCATTGCCCCTATTAAATACAGCATTTACTCTTGAAATACAATTTCGCAGTCGAGATGGGGCATTGACGTTAGCATGTACAGATGCCGGGTGGCACTCGCAGGTGAAGTCGAACTCTTGTGAACGTTCCTGCCAACGAGTCAACTGGTCTTCTGGTTCGCAAGATGTCTGCAGCCGCTGTGATGTACGGTGTTCAGTGCGTATCCGAGATAAAGTTAAAAATATTTGGGGAAATGCGCGAGCGATAGCAAGTATCTCGCTTCGTGTAGTCGAATACCGTCTTCCCCGCTTGTCTGGAATATGCAATAACACGCTCTTGACCATCAGTTGCTGCCTAGGAAATGACAATCCCTATAGCATTATCATTTGCATCCGTGTCAAAATTAAAAGGACCAACCAATAGGGACGTGCCTGGAAATTCGAAGATAAGAGATAATCCTGAGTTCCTCCTCAACTCGTCGAGATGCATACAAATTTACGGCCTTTTTCTGTCAATCGGTGCAGAGGCGAGGCAAAGGTGGTGAAATCAGGGATGAAACGTAAATAGTATGATACCAACCCTAGGAAATCACGAACTTCCTTACAGTACTGGGGTATAGGCTACTCTGCAACAAGATGTGTTTTCTCCGGGTCTGTTTAAATACCATTTGGTGAGATACACTGGCCCAAAACTGTGACCTCTCTAGAGGAAGGAGCATTTAGAAGGCTTCAACTTAAGACCATTTGTTCTAAAGCGCGTAAGGACAATCCGTAGGTAATCAGTATGATCCTCTGGGGACTTCTCATATACAGTAATTTCATCAAGATAGATTAGACACTTACGTTGGATCGACCTGTCAGGAACCACCCGCATTAAGTGTTGAAATGTGGTGAGAGCATTAGATGGTCCTAAGGGCATTGACCTGGAGCATAAATGCAGTTTAGGAAAATCGTTCGAATACACCTCTACTTACCAGCACCCGAATGCCATTTCTAAAGTAGAGAACCATTGAGCCGGCAAGTTCATCGAGAGTTGCAACAATGCGCGGAATTGGGAAGGAGTCACTCTGGTCACAGCATTCAGTTTGTGATACTCAACACACATTCGGAGGAAACCGTCCTTCTTTTCAACCAAGATGATGGGTGACGCCTATGGAGAAGGTGGGGGTACGATGATATTCTTGTCCAACATATATTGTATTAGAGTATCTAGCTGGGGCTGATAGTGAACGGGCTTCCGTCTGGGTGGTTGACGAACAAGTGAGAGACTGCCCATGTCAATACGGTTTTGGGCTACGTCGGTGCGTCCCGAATTATCCCCTTCATCAAAAACATCGTGACATTCCCCAATCAACTTAAGCATTTGTCTCCGAATGAGAGCATAGGTGGATCTGTTGACCGAAATTGGATTAAGGATAGAGGACATGGATAAGTTTTACTCAGTGCAGGTTGGTTGCTGCGAGCGATATAGGGGTATAGTGACTGAGTCAACTGTAGTCTGGGAATGGGCGACGTCTGTAGGGTTGGAGTGTGACTTAAGAAAATCTGCTTCGGGGATTGGGTCCCATGTAGTCTGAGCACAGCTGGGCAACCGATGGCGGACATTCAGATCTACAAATGGAAAATCGGGCTTCCATTTTAACATTGTTAGTTGCTGTCAAGACGTTGTGAGTGGCTACTGTCAGTGAGTATTTGACAACCGTCGGAGGAATGAAGTCTTCACAAATGATGCAGACGCACCACTGTCAAAGAGTATCCTAGAGGGCACTCAGCTAATGCGTCCCCATAAAATTGGTGGTTCCCCACTACATGAATATGTAGAAAAGTTGTAAAACTGGGACTTAATTTGTTGAACCTAGTGGTTGTGATCACATTTGCACGCTTTTACAGAACCGCCTACAATAGTAACAGTTGGAAACTCTGATATCTGAAGGCTTTTGCCGGTTACGCACAGGAGGATTGTGGTGAGGTTGGCCAACGGAAGCTGCCATAGATTCCATGGGGAAGGACCACAGAGGTTGCCATTCATGGTTGCACAATCTTGCTCAGCGTCCTTGAACCGAAGGATCGTCTGCTTAAGGTCCAACATGCTGATTGTAGGTAGCCGCAAGAGGTGTATGCGCAGATCACAGGGAATTAGACCGTCGACGAACCGTGTACGTAGCAATCAATCTCAGTTTGCTGCATCCCCATCGATGTCGGTGCGAGCCATCATAGTCAGCAAATTGGAGTACTATTGACTCACTCCAGGTAATTGTCATCAGCTGAGATTTTTCAGCATCGCGTGGTCGGAGCCCAACTGCAAGTCAAAAAATGAGTCTAGTTTACTCCGGTTTACGCCAGCGGAGTTCGTGCAACAGAAACCAGCAGCGTCGCCTCGTGCATAGTCTTCCTCTGAGAGAGCATTGGCGAAAGGACTATTATGGTGACTCGGCGGAGCTAGACTAAGGAACGCCTGCATGCGTTTCTCCCACACTGAGTAGTCTCAGTTGGATTTGAGGACTGGAGGGTGATGAACAGCAGGCACACTTGGAACAGTAGGTCCGCATTCCTCTGGACGAAACTTGGAGGTTTCATCACCTGACTTTTTGAATTATTGGGTGCCTCCGACACCAGTTTTATAACTCAGTGTGCAGCAGTCACGGAGGGAAGGAAAAGCTGAACGCGAGCTCCGTAAGAGCGTGTATTCGGTAAAATGGTGAAAACCAGAGTACGTGGACCAAACCCTAACAAACAAACAGTTTAATTGTCGTCAGTGATATTGAATCCCGATAGACGTTGTGCCTCTTGCTCCACGGAATGGACTCCTGGGTGTTTTCCGGAAGTGTAGAAAAGAAAATAGTGTTAAATACTCTATGAACCAATGACAGCATTCCGGATATGGCTTACCCTAAATGCGCTTTGTAGGAGTTAATGCTACTTGAAATATAGAGTTGTGAAAGTGTAAAACGTTCTCATTTCGACTCTTGCGTCCGAAAAATCCAGCAAAGTCACGGAGTTATTAGCTTGAAATCGTCAGTTATGTCCACTGAAACCTTTTCGTTTTAACCTTGTAGAAATATAAGGCACAACTGTGAACATAACCACTCGTTTTCTGTGAAATCCGAAATATACTTGTTACTCAACGGAAACGTATTCAATTCACATAGAGTGGATTCCAGTGGAAAATTTAAAATAAATGAGAACAAAACACAGATACAGAATGAAGAGGCAAAAACTAAGAATGATATAAGATATAACTACAATATCGCCATAGTTTGCATTGTTGTTGTTTATATACTAATTTTCTACATACTGGCTTTATGTGCTAGTACAAATGATGTCGTATATCTGTATTAGTGCACATGAAATCCATTGAGTTCATATTTTCCAGAAGTTTTGGATAGAATTCCGGCCTACTAAAAGTAATTTTCTGTTGAGATTATGCTCGGAAGCTTGAAGTAAATACTGATGTATATATTACTCCTGAATATTCAGTCAAGAATTAATCAACAAGGCGAGCGCAGTTAAAAAGTTACATTTTTGACAATTACACATCATTTTTTATTGAAAAATTTGTAGTCTTATATACGGCTTTAACTGAACTCCCAGTTATGCAGTCATACTCTGATTTTCATTTCGCGCGAAACCTTCGTGATCATACATAAAATTATGAAACTATGCCGCCCAGCCTGGAAAACTTTTCTTGGCCAGTCCCTTTTATTTTGTGAGTTCATTAACTATGACTGCAAATTTTAATGTCTCGGAGTTGCTACTCTGACGCTTGCGTTCCATTCTTGTAGGTTGAACATCCACTTCCATGTTTTCATACTACATTGCTTTCACAAATGGAAAAAGCGACAGCCTCACTTACCTAATCTCAGCTCTGAAGTATCATAGAACAGTACTCCTTGCTTTAATAAAGATCTTCATGGTGCAGAACATAAAATTGATCTTCTTACTCCCTCAGAAAGTCTTTAACCGTTAGATAAAGAGTTCACACAACGTGCTACATGGGATTATTGTGAAATAAAACAGATTTTTCGAGCCAGCTTCACTCTACTTGGATTTTCATGTATTATGAAGAATAAAGATGAAGATAAATACCATCAAAGGTTACATGAAGAGTGATAAGACCACAGCAGCCAACACTTTCTTCCATTTTTACTTCATTATTTTTCATACATGTTTGTTTGAGTGAATGAATTCGACCTTGCATTTGTAACTATGGTACTCTTGAAGGCCAACGCCAGGTCATTTCTGTCATTTGGCATGCGGTAAGCTGACACTCTAAACACGGTTCTTGTTCACTCACTTTAGTCACCACTTATCCTTACGTTTTATGCATGTGAAATTACTCATAGTGGCATGTGACTATTGCTGACGCTGGGCGAGACTGCAGACAATTTAAATGACCTGCTCTCTCCAAAGCCCCTAAGTGTTTTTGCCCCGACAAATATGCTATCTGGGATAAACTTCTATTATGATTGTGCAAAAGCTTCATATCTCATTTTCACTTTTAATGCGATTTTCTGGCTAAATGATTGTAATTAAACTCAATAAACGTCCGTTCATCAGGAGTTACTATTTAGGGGGTTTGTTTTGTCAATACGTCACCCAGTTGGGGAAATTTTTCTTGAAAATGTGGGATGAGTGGAGAAAAAAGTGGTATGATTTCTGCTTTAGAGAACTCGAAAGTTGGCTATAATACATCTTTCCCTCGTGTTCTCTACTGTTTTATCTTTTCTGTATTTCCCTTTTAACCTTCGTTGTGTGCATTTTCTGTATTTTATAAAAGTTGTCTGTCCCAAATTAAAATATAAATGTTGCATCAATACATAGCCCAGAATGCACTGATGACTAGCATAGATTCTGACATCCTGTTGGTATTTGCAACTATAGTTTACGCTGCGTTGTAACACATCTAGCCCTGCTTTCAAAAGGTTGTAGTTTCATTTACTTTAACGAAGTTAGAAGTAAACCCAAGAAAACGTTTGGTGGCACTCGACTACCTTGTTTTTTTATATTGTTGAAGTAATTTCATCCATAGAAATTACTACACGCATATTGTCTGGTCATAGTTACGTGTTCGCCGGATAATAAAGGTAGTTACCCTTCGCTAGTCTCGTGATATCATTTGACTTGTAGGTTGACTAGTGTCAAATACAAATCATTTCACATTGCAGCGTGAATCTACCCTTAACTGACTTCAGCGACTCAAAGATTGACTTGTTAACAGGCTATAATCCTGTTGGCCTAGAAAATGCGGATGACATAGTCCTCCTAGGTTAAGACGCTAACAAAATGCAGAATCTACTATACATCTTGAGCAGAAGGTTCTTTCCCCATATGCCAACATACACCATCTCTGTCGTAGACATGATATCAAAGGACGCACTCACTACTCAGTAGTTCGCTTTGCCCTACTTTATGGCTGTAAAACATGGTCATTGAAAGTGGGAGATATGAAAAGGCTAGTTGTCTTTGATCATAAGTGTTTACGTTCTATCTCCCATACTAGGTGGTATAATGAAGTGAGCAGAAATTGAGGTTAGCTGTCAAATGCTAGGTAAGGAGGGAAAATCAATAGATGAATTTGTGAAGTTACATCGATTGAGATGGTTAAGACATGTGTTACGTATGAGTCATCGCCCTCCTCGACGGTCAATTTTAGCTTACATAAGATCGATGAGGTTGGAAACCAAAACATGGAATCAGTCTATGAAATCCATAACACTAAGGTTGAGCAACGTAGGGAGGTTTCTAGACTTCCTGGTTGGGATCACTGGAGTCAACTGGTGATATGGCTCAAACTCATTGTCCTCAATGGTGCAGATGCGTTTACTCTATGTTATTTGTCATATCCAATAAAACTTTTCTTCCACATTGCTTTTCTTTTTCTCTCACACTTCTGTTTATTGTCTTTCCATTGAATCTCTTTACTCACTCCTCCTGCTCTCTGTGTTATATGGAATGTGGCAACTCGAGCTGCTGCACATCTGCGCAGAGTTCTATTTTAAAACTAGTGACACAGTGTGGATCTCTCGTTACTACCATAAGCCGTCACGTATGGTTCATAATGTATAACTTAGTATCTGAACCTGTTATGATTCGCTAGGTTGTGTTGTTGGTATCATAAGCGAAGTTAGTGGATAGATACTTAAAAACTATGTATTCTTTAATCTCGGCATTTCGCCATTGGTGTCTTACTATTCTAGAAACTAAGGTGGGTGATAAGTGAATATCTAGTGAGTGTGCTGCATATTCGTGCACATCCTCAAAACTATCTGACAAACTGACTGGTTTCAACTTGGAACTTTACACCGATATGCAGCAGTTCGAGTCGCCACACTTCACTTAGAACACAAAGCAAGAGAATTAGGTAATGAGATTCAAAACAGAGATTTGAAACAAAAAGAATTGTAATATGGAAGAATAATGTAGTTTCATTGGATGTTATAAGTCACAAGGAGTGGATGCATCTGCTCCAGCCATTGAGAACGATGAGTTTGAGCCATATCACAAATTGTCTCTATCCTTCATTGCTGTTCATCATCCCGAGGACCCCAACAAGGAAGCCAGTCTACAACTACCTACGTGGCTGGCTTAAAATAACTGTTATGGATTTCATTGACTGATGAGGCCATGTTTTGGTTTGACCTCCGATAGCTCTTTTCCAACCTGACCCTATGTCAGCTAACATTGCCAGTCGAGGAAGGCTATGGCTAGGCATTTGCAACACATATCCTAACCATCTCAGTCGATGTAGCTTCACAACCTCGTCGATTGATTTTCCCTCCCTACTTAGCAGTTGACGCTTAACCTCAATATTGCTCACTGTATTATACCACTTCACACGGGGGATAGAATGCAGGTGCCTATGATCAAAGATAGCTAGCCTTTTCATGTCCTCCACTCTCAATGTCCAGGTCTCACAGCCATAGAGGAGGACAGAGCGAACTGTTGAGTATTACACAGTCCCTTTGGTGAACAACAGGATATTGTCTACGCCACATATGGTGTAATTCGGCAAATGCCAAACGAGCCTTTTGTATCCGTCCTGAGATGTCACCAGTGATCAACCCGGTGGGGCTGATACAACTTCCCAAGTAGTGAATTAGTCAACACACTCTACCACTTCACTCCCTATTTCTAAACTAGGAGTCAGTGTAGCCCAGTCGTGTAGCATCATTTTATATTTGGCGGGAGTGAGTCGCATGCTAGACATTCGAAGACTGCAACTCAGAAGACTGCATTTTGTCACTGTCCTCACCTAGAAGGACTATATCATCTGCATATTCTAAGTCAACGAGATTATTCCCTGATACCAAGTCGATCTTTGAGTCTCACAAGTCATTTAGGGTTAAGTCCATTAGTACATCTATGATGAAATTAAACAGAAATGGGGACAGTGGGCATCCCTGATGGACACCACTAGTTGTCAGCACTTCAGATGACAACTCTCCGTAAACTCTCACCTGGCTGCTTGAGTTCAAGTAGAGTGCCTTGAACAATGCAATGTATTTTCTCGGCATTCCCCCCACAGGCAAACATCGCCATAGTACCTCTCGGTCGACAGAATCAAATACCGCTTTCAGGTGAAGAAATATAAAGATTGTTGTAAGTCGGTGGTAAGTATGTCGAAGGGTGAAGACATGATCAATACACTCTCTTCCTGGTCTGAAGCCTGCCTGGTTCCCCGTGTTTGTTCCTCCCCGTGGATCGCTTAGTCTACGCATGATTATTGAGCCCAGAACTTTAGACACCATATTAGTCAAGCTAATCCCCCTATGATTATCACAGGAAGACTTATCTCCCTTCTTGTATACTGGGATAACCAATGACTTACACCAACCCAACGGGACTTCCTCTGATTCCCAGACGCTGCCTAATACTCTAGTTGACGCAGACAGTAAACTGTTTCCACCGTCCTTGAAAACCCCTGAAGTCATTCCATCAGGTCCCGCTGCTTTGCTTCATTTCCGACTAGTGACAGCATTAGTAACCTCAGTTAGGGACGGAGGACCTGTGTTTATATCCCATTCAAGGAGGTGTTGGATGTTCGGTAAGTTGAGCGTGGCTCTAGGGCAATTGAATTGTTCTCCAAAATGTTCCTTCCAGCGTTCCAGTCGTCTATCCTGAGAGCTAATTTTCTTTATTCCTTTACGTTCCCAGTGAAACATAGGGCTTCAAGCCAGAGGCTGACTAGGAACAGATGATTATCCGAACAAAACTGTAGAAGCTGACTACCGTTGTCACCTCGTCGGCAGGGAACTCCGTACGTACCACCTACACACTTCTCAGTCTGGCATAACTTCCCTACTTAGGCATTGAAGTCACCTGCTGAAACAACGTGAACGTTTTGATTTTTGCAGCAAATTAGACAGTTTCTGGTAGAAGTCATCCTTTAGTTTATTCGAACTTAAGTCTTTTGGGGCGTGAGTGGAGACTATGTAAACACAACGACGGATAACTCTGTCCTTCCTCCTTCTTATCGACTCGTTCAGACGGACCGCACACATACGACCACTGGGATCCAGTCAAGAAGTAATTTTTCTACCCTAGTGCTCAATGCTATCCCTACACCTATGAGTCCTTGCGAACTAGCTGAGGAGTCTCCTGATACCCTTAAGGTGAATTTCGCAGATTCACCTTGTTGGCTGAGCGGAGTTAAGTGAATAACCACACTCGGGTCTTGCATACACGTCTCCGATACACAACATACACCCATGGCTTGAGATGCCAGAGTACTGGTTAGTGACGCCTATTGTCCGATTTTTCAGAGGGGCCTGACGTTAAATGCTACGATGTGAAGTTGGCGACGTGGCTTTGAGAGGCTGTCGGGGTATTTCTATGGCTCTCATCGCTATTTGTGATCATAGAATGAAATGGAGATGACTGACCAGCTTGCAGAATAATACTGACAGTAGTCGGGAAGCAGGCTGGTGAAGGTGACAGAGATAATGAAGAATGATGATCAGAAGGGCTGCGTGTGCTTTTAGAAGTGTTTGGGCGGTTGTTACTCCCCGGCTGCCCACACCGTGGAAGTTGATTGATTCTTCGGGTACCTGAAACACAAAGAGGGTTAGTGTTGCGTGACTGCAGAGCCTAGGGGACGACTGCTTGAAGCCGGTGAGCCACCGCCTGTATGAACTGTCTTTTCGGTTTGGTTCCGTATCAGTAACTTACCACCGGCCACGGACCGCCGTAGCGTAAGTCCGGATGTACAATTTTTGGGGTCGAAGTTTTCTAACCCCCTCTCTCCAGAGTGGAGAGACAGCATGGCTGGTTGGCATGCTGGTCATCTGAGGGAAAGACCTTACTGCTCTTACATCCCTGTTCAAGAGCAGTATGACTTCTCCCAGAGACCCCCAACATAGTTTTAAAAATAAGCTTACACTATGCCGGTAACTGCTTTTAGTCTAATCGTTATCCTAACAATCTTTCCTGCATGGTAGGACCTTCAGGAACAATAATTCCAGCCAGTGCAGCTTGTTGGTTCATTGAGATATGCAAGCCCGACCACCACGTCAACGTAGCAGCTGTCGGTCAGGAAAATCATCTGTATGTTTACTGAATGTCCACAAATGTTGTGATCATAAATTCCCCTGTTAGTCGTATAAGATACCTAAATTGGTACTTCGAAAATTATTTTGCAGATTTCCCACAAAGTTGGCGAAAAAAATGCTGTTATCAGATTAATACGGAATGATATGAATGTTGTAAGGATAGAAACTGAGAAAAATATTCCGTAGAAAACAGAGTCGTAATGGCTTTATTTCCTTAGTTTGGAGTGTTTTGAAAAGTGAATATTTCGTGATCTACGCAGGTAAGAGTTACCACTAATCCTTAGCTTTTTTGTCGAAGTGGGTTGTAAAATTCTAACCTTTATTTATTTATTTATACTGTTTTAGCTTGGAGTAAACTATGAGCAACGAGATTAACCCACGAGTCTCTCAATGGCTTACTGAAGTTAGGGTTTTGGATGGAGGTTTCGGAACAGAATGTCAAAAGAGGTCTCATTTACAAATCCATGGTCACTTGGCTTGGAGTTCCAGGCTGCTGAAAGAAGATCCGGAACTAGTTGTTGAAATACATAAATCGTAAGTTGTTTCACGCTTGCAAATTTCCAGGTAATAAGGCTTGATATAAAATTGTGAGTGCCACGGCTTTATAGTTAAGCCGGCCTATGTATGCGTATATTGTCAGTGTAATGTATCTGCAGTGTTTTTTTTCCAAAACAACATTTTTCCATGAGTAGCTTTTAGGGTGGAAATATTAACAACAAACTATTCACTCCTTTTTTGTTGTTTCGAATTATCGATAAAACTTATTAGTCAACGGAATCTTCGTAGTTTCTTGAAAGAATCCGGTAGAAAAGGGTCCTTCATGAGTTGTAGTTAGTCTACTATCGTCTGAATACCGTTCACTTGCCCCTCAAAATATATTAATTCTATTTTTGTAAGTTTATGTCTACATCAGGCATTTAAAACCTGTTTCTAATGCAGTTGTTAGCTGAGTCATTACTATCACCAATAATGAGTGTATCATCCAAATAACGTCCATAAAGCGTTGAATTTGCCAGTATACCTTCCATTTCTTTCTCCAACTTTAAAATTAACACGTCTACTAACAAGAACCAGAGAAAAGTTGTGTGAGTAACTTGATATGATTATGAGCAATAATTTGTGCTCGAAACGTCATCACTTAATATTACTGTGTAACACTGTGTGATTTATGAAAATAAAATCTTATCCATAATGGAGTTACACTCTACCACAGTGCCCAAGTTTTATACTTATATCAAGAGGGCTTTCTGTTGCAACACCATCAATTTGTTTGCGTGCTTTTCCTTGGAAGTTGAATCTGATATTTTCTTTGCATGTCAAGGTAGTATCTCTGATGTAAATGATAAGTAAAGGCACTTATATTCCATTGCTTGTGATGTAATCGCACATGGAATCAACAGTCTTATGAAGTGGAACATTGATGAACAAGGATTCTGTGTGTCAACTGAGCACATAACCTTTTCCTTAATGATTATGGTATCGAGTATGTTGACAAGATAGAATGGACTTTTAGTAGTGTTTCGTTAAGGAATTGCCTACGGATATAATGACCTCCGAAACCCTTCTGACAGCTTTTAATATGAAGAATTCGACGTGTCGGAGATGAGTCTTACTCAGTTCCCAGGCTTGTAAAATTTTGGAAGAGTGTACAACTGTGGTTATGCAATTTGATTGCGTCGAGTTGCTTATAAAATGTTTCATTTAAAAAACCACATATTAATAACATCTGAAGCTGACAATTAATCTGCTTTTCAACAGGCAAAACATTATCTGTAGTATTGTCTATTGAAAATTTAGATTAATTCTTGAGAATTTCATCCGTTTTGTCTTGATAATCAGATTTATTCATCATAACATCTCGTTTGTCGGGTTTTAGAACAACAGGATTATCCTTTTCAGTTATTCCTTTCAGTGCCATGTAATGTTCTATAGATAAACCATTTTTCTGATATATTGTATTCCAGCTTGCCTTGTAATGGGAAGGTCCTGGGTTTGAACCCCGGTAGGTGCGTACTGCCGGTAATTCCCAAACTAGGATAAAACATCTGTCCATTATTCCCTGTTGGTTTTCAATAGTTCTCTAACTGATAACAATCTGTGATCAACTCACAAAAACAAATCTAATCCTTACAAACCAACTATTAAGGAAGTAATTACAAGTGTCGACTAGTTTAACTTTAAACCATTCAAAACCAAGTGGCTGAACGGTCGAAAAGCTATATCTTTTAACCTGAAGGTCCACAGTTCGACCCCTGGTGGGGTCGTGGGTGTGCACTACTGAAGAGCGGTGAAGTAGGACGAAACAGCTGTGTCCAGTGCTCCCTTTTTTTCAATGATCTCTCTTACTGATGTTGGTTCGTGACGTAACTTGATAATTGAAATAAAATTAATCCGATTCCCAACAAATCTCATTATCCAAATATCTTTATCGTTTCCATCAGGCTAAACGGTTAACTGTAGGCTTGACAGGTTTATCGGGTACTTCGAATAAAGTTTGACACTGCCAGAAAAAAACCTTACTTTCTGTTCAATGAAGCAACTTTCAGACATTTTCATCAGAAGAAATAGACCTTAGATGCCGCTGTTGTTCTATATCATAATATAGTCTCTAGTTTAGATAGAGGAGCCAAATATGTTCGGTGTTCCTTCCTTGATTACACATCTACATTTGACTCTGTACCTAGGTCTCTCTTGCTAAGTAAGCTTGCTGCAACACAGGCTGATAGCTGGACAAATAAGTGGTTGCATTCCTATTTTTCTGATAGGAGGCAGTACACCATCTACAATGGAAAGTCCTCCACTACCTCACTTACTTTAGCTGGTGTTCCTCAAGGTACTGTTCTTTCTCCTTTTCTGTTTTCTTTTTTCTTACATGACTTGCCCCATTCTGATGTAGCCACTTTTGTCAAGTATGCTCTGTTTCTATGCCTGTCAACTCCCAGTCAGATTGTTCCAAATTAAATAGGTTTCTGTCGGAAATTAGTCAGTGGTCCTCTTCAAACGGTCTTAAGCTGAATCCGTCTAAATGTCAGGTAGTCAATTTCACTTTCAGACGAAAACGTGACCTACAACAACTAGCTAGCTCACATGGTCCCACTACCATTGACGGCATAGAGGTTGAGATTACATCTAATGTCAAGTACCTTGGACTGAGTATTTCCTCCGATCTTTCCTGGTCCTCTCACATCTTGCTAGTGACTAGAAAGATGTTTCGCTTAACGTTCTACGTTAGGAAATTAAGGCAGTCTGGTGTAAAGCAGTCTTTGCTTTCTCAGTTTGTCAATTCTTGTTTTCTACCCATCCCTCTTTACTGCTCTCCATTATTCTTCCCTGGACTACTTAAGAAAGACTTTGCTTTGCTGAGAAGGGCACTAAAAGCTGTTAGTAGGGCAAGTAGGATATCGTTAAACCAAGTGGTTAATACTATTGTGGAAAGACATGTAATATCATGTAAGAAACTAGCGAATAATATATTGTCAGACCCTGAGCATCCTCTCTATATGCAGCTCTCTCCTTGCATTTCATCTGGTAGAACTAGAAGCAGCTATAGGAGGCTATATGCTAGGACTACCAAGTACAAAATCTCCACAATACCTTATCTGGCACAGCTGTTATGTGATGAGAAATCCGTTAGGTACGACACGATCAACTTACTGCGGCACCCATTAGTTTTTGTTTTCCTTTCTGTGTTACTATTATATAGTTGTTCACATTTTTTATTACACACTAATTTTATATTTCATATTCCTGTATTGCATTGTTTAAAATGTGAATGCAATGCTGTTCTTTTTATTTCTTTTTATTTATCTATTTTTGTTGTTGCTGTTGCTTTTTGTTTTTAAAATCTTAAAAAATTTATGAGGTAATTAGATGCAATATTGTAATGCACGCTGAAAATTCCATGTCTGTACCACAAGTACTGTTTGGAATAAAGCTATTATTATTATTACATAAGAAGTAAATTTGAAATGCAAAACAACTTACCTATTTCTGTAGGTCGGTTTTATTACTGGCGATGAAGTGAGGAGTGGTATTGCTTTCATTGAAGTATTGTTGGACTGTCAAAATTGAATAAGTGTTTTATTTGGTTTTGCTTGACATCAGACTATCCATGAAGTTAATCATGTACAATATTGAACAATAGATAAGGTTACGACACTCTAATTAACGATGCAACACGACTGAAAGACTTATCAGTGTAGAACTTTGCACCACAGTGCATCAGTACAAGTTAATAGACCTTGGAAAGCACGTAAATGTAGAGAAAAGAATTGGTTGGAAGGTTTCGTCATGAGCTGACATCAGTTAGAGAACCATTGAAAAACCTGGGAGTACTGTACAACTGTTTCGTCCTAGTCTGGGACTCTCCATCAGTTAGCAATAACTCATCGAAGAAGACATTGCGAAGTGTTCACTCTATGTCATGAATTGGCAGAAGTTAGAATTCATGGGCCACTTGGTCGGGTCCCAGTGGCTTAAACGTCTACGAGCTCGCCTTGTAACCAGAAGGTCCTGGGTTCGAACCCTGACGGTGTGGGTGCGTAGTGATGAGGAGTCCAAACTAGGGAAAAACAGTTGTCCAGTACTCCCAGGTTTTCCAATGATTCTCTAACTGATGTTAGCTCATGATGGAACCTTCCAACCAATCAAACACAATCCTTACAAAACCAATACTTGTAGAGAAAAGAACTTTATTTATACTACAATCTGCGAAGACGTACGGGAAGAAGAATAATTCGAAGACATTAGTTTCGGTGTTTTGGAATCTAGGTGATAACAAAAATTAAAGCCATCAGTGCTATTGAGTACGAATTTGAGTCACATCACCAATAGTGTACAACCATTGATCCTTAACACCCCAGAGACTGTTATATAACAAATAAGAACCAGTTCAATACTTAAATTCTTTCCTACATCTCGACTCGTCATCATTAGGTGTCAAAAGTCTCCTGCCAGCACTTATATTTTGTTTTGTGATCGTAGAAATATCTGCTTGATTTTCTTTCCTTGTACATTTTGTGTAAAGCATGTGAAAGAATCTGTCTGTCTGTCGACGAGGCTGTGAAATTACATCGACCGAAATGGTTAGGACATGTCTTACGTATACCTAGTCATCGCCTTCCTCGACAATGGGCAGTGTTAGCTGATATAGGGCCAGGCTGGAAAAGAGCTAGCGGCGGTCAAACCAAAACATGGCACCAGTCAATGAAATCTACAACAGTTAGTCTAAGCCACGTAGGAAGGTGTAGACTTCCTGGTTGGGGTCCTCGGGACGGTAAAAGCCAATGGTTGGAAACAATTGGTGATATGGCTTAAAATCGTTCTCACTGGCTGGTGCAGATGCATCCACTCCTTGTGGCTTATGGTTTCCAATGAAACTGCTTTGTTCTTCGTTAATACTATACCTTTGTCTCACACCTCTGTTTACTGTCTATATTATGCATTTCTCCTACTTTCTTTTCTTGCTTTGTGTGCTACATGGAGTGTGGCGAATTGAACTATCGCACATCAGTGGAAAGTTCTATTTCGAAAACAGACATGTGAAAGAAGCTGTATGAGGCTAGACCACTAGTTATTCTCTTGTTATAGAAGTGATTATAAGGGTCGATGTAATGCTACTTTTAGGACTGTTGTTTTCACAAAACATTGCTTTTGCTTGCTGTATTGATTCGATTTGTTGTCATGAGTTATGTTCCTTAATTCTCAAATGTATCATATTACCCTTTATAGTTTCCTTCGAGCGGGTTGTGATGTCATCACTACGAACACATATCAGGCATCACCTACAACATTAGTTCAAGCGCTTAACATAAGCAGATCAGAAGCAGAAAATCTAATGCATACTGCTGTCATTTTGGCAAAAAGAGCATGCGAAGAAGAGAAGCACTCGGATAATCCTAGTGAATTTCAAAGGAAACTGCCTGTTCTTATTGCTGGATCTTTGGGTCCATATGGAGCATGCATTGCTGATGGATCAGAGTATTCTGGGTCGTATGCAGATAAAGTTACTTTTGAAGAGTTGGTTGAGTTCCACTTGTCAAGAGCAACTATCTTAATACAATCTGGAGTTGACTTTATAGCATGGGAAACAGTTCCACTTTTGATTGAAGTCTCAGCAATATGTGAAGTTATGCGTAGACTACCATCAGCATATTGCTGGATTTCAGTTTCCTCACCAGATGGTAAAACAACTTCAGGTGGGGATCTTCTCGTATCTGTTGCCCAAGAAGCAGAAAAGTGTGATCAGGTATTTTGATGTGGGTGTGTTACAAAGATTTACAATGGGTTCATTTTTTGATTAATACGTTGTTTCACATTTTATGACAAGTTTACATATACTTATGTTTATTTTTCCTGTTCTAGGTTTTTGGTATTGGAGTTAATTGCAACATACCTCATAATAATATTGGTGAAGCCCTAGCGAACTTATCTTTGCATAAATCGATAGACCCTGGAAGTACTCCGAACAAGTTATTATTATTTTATGCCAACGATGGGCGTCACTGGGTACGAGATGATGACGATGACAGTAAATCTGAATACTTAACGTGTCACTCTCAATACAACGAGGAAAGTTGGCTTCAGAGCACTATTCGATGGGCGAAACGTCGTGAAGTTCACAACAGTGATCACCTCCATCAGCCAAGAGAAAACAATCACACTTTAGCTCAGTGGGTCGGAGGATGTTGCAATGTTGGACCTGATTGTATTAAACAACTTGCGAAGTGGATGAAACCTGATGAATTTAATGACTTGTGATGTGGACTCGACAAACTGTAAAAAAAAATGATTGTTTCACATCTGTCTATCTGCAGTGTGTTGCATCAAGATTTTATCTACAACTTTATTTGTCTACGTAACATCATATTTTGAATTCATAATAAATAATAAAAGCTTGCCTTCAACACTCTATCACTACAGACGTGAAAGAGATTCTGCATTATAAATCAGGTTCGCTTGAATAACTGCTGATAAAAAGAACAAAATGGACTGATTTGGTACGTATTGTGTTGTGGATTGAGAGAATTTCCAAAGAACCCGAATTATTGAATCCTAACTAAGTCGTTACAAATCTTGTTAAAAGCTGATAGTCTTAAGCTCGAAACTAGGATGAATGCTACGAAAGGTTGTTAAACTCTCTTCAAATAAATGCACGCTACCCCTTTTCGTTTGTGTGTCTGCACGAATTGATAAGCCCCATTTTGGTACATCCACTGACGAGTCCCAAATAAGACGAAACATGCATATTGGGTTCCACCGCTAGCCACCACCAGATTAGTGTAATATTGGATGGAATACGTTGTAGAGGACAGTAGGTGGAAATTAGTGTCTGAAATAAGTATGTATGCTTTCCTCCCTTTAATTAAAAGAATTAATTGCACCGTGATTAATAATACATATCACTTATTGCCCATGCTTTTATAAGAACAGCTTATTCAATGCATGGACTATTGGAAAAATTAAAATGAAGTAAATATCTCAGGAGTTTTCAGAACACTGATCACACGACGTAACAGGCATATTGCTCTGAATAACACATTCCTCGGAGGTCTCATGAAGTTTACTATGTCAAGTCCAGATACAATATTTAGCTCAAGAGTGATATAGTGCTGCTTATGGAAAGCTTGTGTATTGTGTAGGTATTCGTTCTCTTCCAACTTGTGACTTTCAGTGTAGGCCTCTGAAGATAGTACGTATAAAAATACTGGAAGTTTCCTATCACAAATGCTTTCATTTACTTAATTAGTTGGAGCAATGTGATCCGTAATAACAAGGCTAAGTAAGAAGGACAAGTCAAGGTTTCAAGTATTCGTCCACTAAGAAGGTAATGGACTATGGTACACTCATTGTGAACCGTTTTCTCACCCAGCAGTGTTAACTGAAACTTGATTAAACTGGAAAAGAGTTAGATGTGGGGAAGACAAAGTGTTACTTCGATTCATGAATTCATTGAATGTTTTTCTAAGTCATGTAGGAAATGGAAGGTTGATAAGTTGAAGATTGATTCTGGCAATGACTATAATAGGTTCGTATAAGAATCACTGGCGCTACATATAAATAACCATCACATTTGCCAGTATAATTAATGCGTAGGCAAGACATTCGGGTTCAACTCGTAAGATTATGTTAGTGTAGTTATATTTGCTTCTTCTTGATATGATAAGAGTTAGACATGTTCCATATTCGGCACAGTAGTGTGTCAGAGATTTTTAGCAATTCGTATATCAGAGATATTTTCACATCAATACCAACAAAGGAGGTGCGTCGGTGGTACAGCGGTAGAGTGCTCATCGACCGCGCCTCATATGGTCCGGGGTTCTATGCCCGGTCGGCGCACTCCTTTATCTCGCTAAGCCAGTAATAAGACTGGTAAAGAGGGAAGGTTGGGCATGAGGTTAGTAACCCCATCCTGTAAAAATAATCACCACTGCTACAGAAACTTGAAGCCTCTAGCTTTGAAGCCATATGTTCCACTGGGAAGGTAAAGGAATAATTTAAAAAACCAATCAAGGTAGACTGAAAGAGCATCTTTATAACTGGAAAGGATAGGAAACCTAGTACATGCAAATAAATCCATGGTGATTATTTGACAGTAGGTAATAGACATACATTTATATAGTTATATCACAAACTATAATATGGTGGGTAAATCAATTGCAATCGAATTAAAAGATGAATTAGTAGGCAGTCACTTTTCATAATGATTTGCATTCATGCAAAATGTACGATCTATAGTGGATATGAGAAAAACAATGATTAAGTGGTTGGTGTTAGTAAGATTTATAACTCAGAGGTTAAGCGGTAAATTGTAATCAGTAAAGTGAGAAATAATGCGAGTACTACAATAATAATGGAGTGATCCAAAGTTAGTAAAAAAGAAAGCAAGAGGATAGTGATTGTTATTATACAGAGGCATGAGGTAATTGCGCCTATGATGGCCGAATAGTAAACCAACGCACATATAAGAGTTGAATGCACAGATAAGAAATGTGGTCGTGCACTGTACGCCACTCGATGCATGACTGCAAACACGTGTTGTATTTTGATGGGGTGTTTAATGTCCAACAAAAAGGATGAGATGACACTTTTTAGTGACCCGACTGCTCCTTTTCCCAGCGCAATCAGTAAGGATGAATTCCTCTGACTACAACTCACTTAACTCGCTCCACAAGAGCAGTTAAATTTGTAAATTCACATAAATATAACCATCATCAGTAACTTATCATTGATGTACCGTATTAGTAAAGATCTGAACGGGAAAATGGTATGTAATCCCAATGCCTTAAAATGACGTTTCCAACGGCTCTGTTCAACATGCGACTTAACACGTCACTACATATGTTGTTACCCATGAACTGCATTCTTGGGCAAAACTTTTTCTCTCAGTGTATCATGACTTGGTTTAATTTTTCAGTTTGTCTGCAAAACTCTGTATTAAACATGAAGTGAACGTTCGTTGTTCAATTTAGCAATAACTCTTAACACTTCGCAGGCGTGAACTGAATGTTTATTTATCATTCTTTAACTTGTTCACATATGTATAGTTGACATTAAGTAACGATAATATGACGCCTAAAGTTAACATACCTCTATCATATCTTTAGCGCTTTTGACAAGTGTAAACACATCTTTTACACTCTGTTTTGACTAACTGTCAGTGGAAAGGCTTCAGTAAATGCAAAACTATTTGCAAGTCATATAGTGTATGTGACATGTTTGGAATAGAATATCGGGGTAATCACTGATTACGAATCTTTGATAAGTCGTAAAGAATAGAGGCTTTGACGGAGATTTTCTCTTCCCAGCGACATCAAAGTCTTAATAAACTGGAGTTCAATAGTTTTACTTCTACTACTGTTCAGACTTTTGGAACGATCGAAAAGTAAAGCACTAATGCTTTAAGGATAAAGATGACTTAACTGGTATGATAAACCGTATTAGTTATGTTGCTGAACCGTTTAAAAAACAGGATTACGAGCGAACTGCATGTCAACAGTCTACTAACTAACGCGCTTTAAGCCAACTGTACACATTAAAAACAGATGTCAGATACCACTTTCATTATGACCGACTAACAGAAGCATTATAAGATGATTGTTAACCACTGTGGAAATATGAACGAAGTTCACGATTTCTTAATCGGAGTAGCATATAAAGAAATTGATAAACAAAGATTATAATATAAATAAAATCATTTTCACTAAAACTTCCACTTTTGCTCTTATAGTATATCACCACATCTCTCCACCATCTCATTCTTCTCCCCCCCCCCAATATGATGGTCCCCCAAATGTGACAATCGGTATCAAATTAAAGAATAATAAATCTGCGAGCGTATTTTTTATAAGCAGTATATTTTCAAAGTAAATTATATTTACACGTTGACAAGAGAAGGAAATAGATATATAGAGAGAGAAAGTAATCCATAATATTGTACATTATACGTTCATATTACTAGTTTTATACTTCCTCTGAGTAGCTTCCAATCATTACGTTCACCTGGATACAATGGTTTCGGATAATGTCTCTTTCCATCATGATAAACAAATCTTTTATTTGTTAAAAATTAAACAAACAATATTTATTATATAATTGTTAAGGAAAAAAGAGTTAATTAAATCATTGCAATTTTACGATACTTAAATAGCATTACAGATTTCAATATAATGCTATATAGTGTGTCAGAGTATTTAATAGACAGTTATTTCAATAGTTGGGCGTTACGAGAAATTTTAAAGACGCTTTTGTATACGACGTCTAACATTTGCCTGAATATCATAAATATCTAGGGGGGGGGTGGCTACACATTAACAATTAAATCATGCAACGCTAATTATAGGGGGTCAAACAGCTCTCATCTGTACATGACTTTATCTATTTACATGTCACTTAGTGCAAAAAAACCTGTATGGAGTAACTAGGTTTAACATTTACTTCATTACCATAATTCGAAATTCACGGGTCTAATCTTTTTGATTGAACACTAGTCAGTAACTAGTGTTATGTGTTTGGTCCTATGTTTGGTGCAGACTGAATTCTATCAGTCAAGTTCGCAATGTGGCCACCATGCCACTAGGTGGCTCGCCATCACGGTGCACTGTGAACTGTTGGTATTAGATGGTTGGAGGCAACAGGAAGGAAGCCTTGCTCGACCTAGGTTTCGTGCTTGTTGGCATTCACCAGTCAGCAAGGCATATCTGCAATACCAAAGGAACTCATGTCCCATCTGAGATCCGAACCCGCGTCACCTAGTGAGTACTGCAGTCAGAGACGTTACCACTGAGCTATTCAAACTCGCAACTGACCTCCTGTAGGGCTGTATTGGGTATTTTTGATTGTACACTAGTCAGTAACTAGTGTACAATACGGTCCTACAGGAGGTCAATTGTGAGCCTGAATAGCTCAGTGGTAACGTCTCTGACTGCAGTACTCACTGGGTAACACGGGTTGGGATCTCAGAAGGGAAATGAGTTGCAGATATGTCTTCCTGACGAGTGCCGACTAGCACAAAGCCTAGATCAGGTAGGGCTTCTTGCCGATTGACTCCAACTATCTAATACCAAGAATGGTTTTAATCTGTTTAAGACTAATATGATGTGCAAAAGATACTTACAATAAACAATAATGATTTGTCTGAGAAAATCTCTAGTAAGACCTTGTTGACCATGAAAAGTCCCCTGATCACTACGATGGATATAAAATTCTGCATGTTACCATTGCTTTCACTTAGTCGGTGTGAACAGTGCTCAACTGACTATTCCTATTATATTTTGCATACTAACTCTAAGAGTACTCAGAGATAATTTCTATCCTTATGTCAAATAGTGCATACTTCAGACAAGGAATTATAATCAACACACCACTCTTATTTAGTACAACCCTGTGAGTACTAAAATTCCAAACACATTACACAAAACAATCGAATGTAAGGATACGGTAGACGGATCACCCATAAATATCCATTATCCAATGTTACATAACCTGGCGCCTGATATCTTTCACTTTGACTAGTACCATGATATTTTACATCATGTTTAGCACGATCCTCATAAATATAGCAATCATCATCAAATCCATAGTTTTGTTCGTATTCAAAATCTGACAAACTATCAAATCTTTTAGCAGAACACTGATCCATTGTATGACCTAGATGAAATATTGGAGTATGTTTCGGTGGACCAGGTCGTACACATGGTTGAACACGAACTCGAATAGGAGCAGATGGTATAGCTAAATAAATTCGTGACAGCTGTGCCATAACTATTTGATTATTTGTATAACTGGACGATCTCAGTGTACTAGTATACTCTATATCCCATTCATTAGTAGTTGCTGGATGCCGTGTATTTCCAAACATATGTGAAGTTGTTGAATGCTGACATTGACAGGGCATAAAAATAGGCAGATCACGTGTTAACAGTAAATGAACAGCTCGGCGAACTTGACTGCTTGGCATCGGTCCATCCATAACTCGATCAATTCCAGTTATAAAGAATCGATGACCCATAGAACATTCCATTTCAAAGCCAATAAATAATTTCACTGTGTCTGAATCTAAAAGAGCAGAATGAAGAATAAGTATGACATATGCTACTTAATATTTTAAATTAGCGAATCAAATAAATGGCTGTGGGTCTTGAAAAAAGTGATTACTAAATGTTAATTTAAAGGTGTTACCTCAACTGGGATTCTGAAGAACCGCTTATCCAGATGCATTGCTACAGTCGACTATTGATCAATGGGTGTGTGAAGAATAAACTGCCACTTTGGACCACTTCATAATATGTGTTTATAAGCTCACTTGTTCCTGTGGAGCTAGTTGTATTGGCTGCACAAAGTGAACACTTTCCGAGCGCATCTAACTCTGAACATTATCCAGCATGGTTAGCAGGAGGACAATGCAAGAAAATTACTAGCTCAATTCTCGAGCACTTGGTGAACTCAGGCCACGCAGTTCCACCACAGTTATCCTTTAATATTATCTACAAGGGGAAACCGACTGGCACAAAAGGCGTTAGGTTTTGGCATTTTTGTGTGGCGGAGGCGCTGGCAATACGTCAATACAATCACGAGCTCTGTATACAGAAGAAGTTTGCCAGTCTCTTATTCTATCACGGTCTTAATCTCTTCATTAATCGTCCCCTGTAAATTATAATTTTTAATAATTTGTTTGCTTTTATGTTTAATTATTAATTCACTATCGCCACTCTCATGTTCCTTTTGTGTATTTTCTCATCCTCTTCACAAATGTCAAATGGACACTCAACTACTTTTTTCTCACTCAATAACAATCTTAACCTTATCAAATTTCTAACGCTTTCTTCCTTTGTGCCGCTGAGTATTACGTAATTTTTAATTTTACTTTTGAAGCCACTTCTGAGTAATTATATCAATGTCACCCCTCCCCACCCTATTGCTCAGTCATGGACTACTATACGTTTTTGGTGAATATTAATACGACTGTACAGCCTCTGAAGATGATTTCACCGATAAAGAAGATTTTCTTCGCTGAATTGTCTTTTATTTCCTTTACAACTCATTGAAAATACGTTATAGTATGGAATTCGTATCAGAGTTTTACAGTGATTTCTGAAGAAAACAGTTCTAATAAAAATAGTGTTGAAAAAGTTAACATGCCTCAAGAGGGATAGGTATTTTGTCCAAGTGTACTTACGCTTTTTTTAAATTTACATTTAATCTGTCTTGTTCTATTAACATGACTCATTGGAATACCTTTCTCATTTTGTTAACTTCATATTTGGCGGGGCTGTCAAGTTTACCAATTAAAATCACTACACTTTAATGTAATACTTTACTCTACTGTCACACTAATTGAGCACAAAACTGGTAAATTTTACAATGTTACAACGATAGGCTGAGATTATAGAAGTAATAGACGGAGTAAAATTACCTGGTCTTCCTCCACGTCTGCCTCTTCCAGGCTTATTGTAACGTCCCCGTTCAGGTGCATTCCACGTATTGTTCGTTAGTGATACATCCCAAGGAAGTAAGAAATTACTATTGCGGAGAAATCCTCGGCAAGGTAGCCCTTTTAAATATAGAAAAGGAATTGTAGTATAATAAAATTTATTCAAACCATTGAGACGGATTTACAGTGATGCCACACCAATATCTCGAGGACCCTAATCAAGTAGTTAACTACCACAAACAGTTCTCCCTAAAGGCTTTCGAATCATACGAAACTAAACCTCTCCCTGTTTTAGGTATCTGAAGTTTTCTTCCACGATGTGGTTAGCTGTAAGAAGTAGACCACATATACCCTTCTATAATCATACAAAAACTCTTCTGTCCATCATCCACTCATCTTCTTGCTTACCTCTAACTCATTATACTATTCCTCAGAGAGTTTATTCACAATTGCGTAGCTCTGTGATTACTGTGAGAAAATTCAGTCGGAGGAACACCGTTTGTTGTCCCTCGAAACCATACTGCCAATCTCATGCTGGAACTGTTAGTATCCGAAATCTGACAGCAGCTTTTACCAGACAAAACTCCAGTATTCTGGAGTATGGATGTCTGTTTTCTCCCTGGGACATGTATACAAGACCCAAGGGCGGTTAATCATATAGCCCTACCCTGGTGAAATAGGTGGATCTAAAAGATTCAACAAATTCACAATCTCCAATTATGTATTCACACTGAAGGCGGTCAGAATGAAGCGAAGGGGAGATTTTATCAAAAGCTGCCAAGTGTGCCTCAAAAAGGTAAAAAACAAACGCTCAGATATAATCGTTCTTACAGTCAATTTTAATACTTGAGCTGAGCCGATGGAAAAAGAACATTGAGAATATCTACGAAACCACATACCAACGAACCGATAACACTGAGTATTGCTTACAATTTTAATTAGATAACCATCTGTTCTTGCCATGGCAAATGCTAATATGAAGCCAACGATAGACATACATAGAATAATCACTTTGCAGTAGGTTAGCGGTGGAGAGGAGCCGGTAAAGGTTGCTGTGCCTTCCGGAACAGTTGAATAGGTTTTATTCATTCACGCATTATCATCTCATGCACGTGTATACCAGAGGATAGACGCGCAAAAGCACTTTAAATGTTTGATTAAGAATATTTCAATTGGAGAACACTGTACACACAAACGTGACCAAAAAGCTATAAAATTTTCATTCCATAGTAGGTATGTCTATTTTCAAAAGGCATACGGTAATACAATAGTATTTACTGGATGATTTATCACTGCTTCATCGAGGAAGCATTACTGTATATCAGTAAGGAATCACGTTTTACTGAATCATCCAAGTGTTCTTCTCAGTATCAGTAAATGATGAGGAGAATGTTTCTCCACTTAAAAACCTCAACTGTGATATACATAATTAAGCTTTTATTCATTTGTTCAGGTTCCGAGTGAAACATAGGACTTCAGGCTTGAAGCCTTAAATTTCCGTTAGACGTGGTGTTGTTTTCATGAGATGGAGTTGCTAACCTTAAAGTCACACTTCCCGCCTTTTCCGGACTTACTACCGACTAGTAAACTGGGCGAGGATTAACAGTGCGTCGGGTCGAGAAACGAACCCCGGACCACGTGCGTGGTTGGTGGGCGGACCACAAACGCGCACATAATAAACTAACTGAACTATATTAAGCATTGACCGAGGTGGGACGAATAACAATCAGTTTCAAAGTGGCGGTGATAATTTGTGAGCAGATAAGGTACAACGATTTCAGACCTAAAAAATAAATAAATTACTTATAGATCGATAAAATTACTCCATAAAGTAAAAACAAAAGAATAAATAATCGAATACATGTAACACATGAAATAGTATTACAAGCAAGCTACCTGATGAATGAGAATAACTGTAGTATTTTCCAAGTGTATGGATAGACCAGGATGGATAACGTGGTATATCACCAACCAACCAATTTGTGTTTGGTACACCATCACGAAACACAGCAGGATATAAAGTTACTGGATTTACAGGACTAGAACTTTCTGTTTCAATAGGACCTTGTATATTAGCTGTCAAGTTTTCTTTTGATTCTGCTGCAAGTGAATGAGAAGTGACACCTTTCTTTTCATCTTCTTTAGTCAGTATTTTGATTATTCCCTTGACTTTAGTTTCTCCTGAAGGGAGTTCTGGATTACAAATAGTGGCATCATTTTGTGATAAGTCACTTCCAGCTACAAGATAAAAACAGCCACAGAGTTAGAGCTATATGCTCAGAAGAAGTAATTGAAGATGAATTAAGCACTGTATATGATACTTTGATCGAAAATAGCTATCCCGAAAAATTTATCAAGAAACACATGACAAAGAAAGCGGAAAAGGACGATATACCAAGTGAGATAATTACGAGGAAATTAAGAAAATCAGTTCAAAGAACTTTTAATGCTGGCGAACTACACGTATTATTCTCTACACGACCGATGGTACTACTGTAACAACAGAAGACAAGGGCCAGGCAACAGAACGTTTATTAAGGAAAATCAACACATATTTATAGATTTTAATATACGTTATTGTAGATTAATGTTAGTAGAAAATACAGTCTTTTGATTGGTTGTTTCGCCCACAAAGTTAACCTTGCATCTCTTTGTGGCTGTGTCAGTTCATCTATATGTAAACTGTCTGCTGTCCATCTTTGACCTTGTTTTCACATGACTAATATTTGATACATAAACATTGACCTCAATTACTGTCAACCAATTTGGCTAGCAACCATCTCTCACCACACTACCTCGACTGAAAGATGAAGCACCTAGAATAGCCACTTCAAATTGTATCTACCAATTCAACTGCGCTTGTGGAGGAGCGAGTTATATTGGCCGTTGCTCTAGGAACTTGATTTTTCGTGCTCGAGAACACCTCCCACTATGGCTAAGTAAAGGTGTAGTGAAAACCATTAACAGTTCGATATTGAACCATCTGGTGCAAACCGGCCACAAAGCCAGCCAGCATTGAAGAATCCTTCTCTATAATCTACCGGGTGCCTAATAAATTGCCAAATTCATCGAAGCACCGCATGCTTCAAACACTAATTCATTCATTCACTATGATGTATATATAACTGTAGAGCCTGATGATGAAGTTATCTTTGTTCAGTATCCATTCTTTTGAAAATTTTTAATGGGCATTTTTAATCAGCTAAAAACAAAATTCTTGAGTGAAATTTGTTGTTCGAAATTCCCAGGGATATGAATTATTTTATTCCTAATTTATTCTCAACGGTCAGTCGACCTAAGTATACCTTATATACAGTCTTACACTTCTTTAGCTTGCAAAGTGGAATATGACAACTAACATGTGCCCCTTCGCCAAAGGTCTCTTTATCAGTGAGGTCCATCTATTCTGGAGTGAGGACGGATTTCCCACCGATAACACTGGTTGGTGGTCGCACTAAAATCACGATTTGGTCGGAGTTAGAATTCATGGGCCATTGAATGGAGTCTCAGTGGCTGAATGGTATAAGAGCTCGCCTTGGTACCGGAAGTTTCTGGGTTCGAACCCCAGTGGGTGCGTACTTCCGATGATTCCCAAACTAGGATGAAACAGATGTCCAGTACTCCAGTGTTGGTCTTCAATAGTTCGCTAACTGATATCAATCCATGGTCAAACTCGATAAACAAATCTGATCCTTAGAAATAAACTTTTGAAAAATAAAAAATATGTTTTTAATTGTAATAATTACAAGTTGAGCTGTCGGCAGATGTTTTTCTCCCTATCACTGCTCTGATTCGTTTTAATTTCCTTCTTTAAGTAGAAGAAAAAAGCTGTTGAGAACAGCGAAAATAAAATTCTTGAATTTTCCATGTTACTGTTGATTGTTTGTGCGATAATCTTCGTTTGAATCCTACCAAACTGACAACTTTCTCGTTAAAGCAATATGAACATGATATACAGTATGAAATGTGCACATTTTATTTTGAGGCAGCCAAAGTATATACATAGGATTAATGCAATAACTACTTTCTTTTCATGTAGATTGTACTGATAATAGTAAATGTCCCTAGTACACTAGATCAGCTCGAAGCTCAGGCGTTTAACTTCATCGTAGCTAAATGATGATGTCATATGCCAAGTGATTCACAGCAGGAAACACAACAAAAGCTTTGAAGTGAAAACACCAGTGTCGCGAGACTGCCTACTATCACCAGTAATACTCTTGACTGCAGTGGAATGAATAATGCGAGAAAGAGACCGTGGGAAGCTAGACGACGGTTGTACACTGAACTGGCAGAATAGTGAGTGGATTACGTTTAGTGGCGTACAAACTCGAAAATTTATTGGTGAAAATCAACCAGTTGTATGAAACATCAGCGAAGACAGGATTCGAGGTGAACATAGAGAAGACAGACGTGAGTAAGATAATTCAACCAACAACAGCAAACATCAACCGCCATCAACGGAAGAAATCTAAAACAAGTGGTTTTTTTTCATCTACATTCACAATATCGTTGCAACTGCAGGCTGAAAGGATGAGAATGTTAACACGTTGGTCAAGATTAGATAAGTAAGACAGGCCTTCATTATTTTCAAATCAGTACGGGAAGCTGCTGTAATCAACATAAGGAACAAGATCCGGATCTCCAAAACTAATGTCAAGTCAGTCAGTGCTTCTATCTATATAATTTACAGACTTAGCGAGTCACCGAAAGCATTCTCTACAAGGTGTCAGACTTTCATCAACAGCTGTCTTCACTTAATACTGAAGATCATATGACTGGTGGCTGGAAAGGATAAACAACTAGGAACTCTGGGAATGAACCAATCAAAAACCCGATAAAAATATACCAAAGGAAATGGAAATGGATTGGACACACGCTAAAGAGACCGTTGAGTGATCTCAGGCACCAGGCCGTCACTCGAATGAGAAACGACGAGTTGCGCCTGGCCTTTGGGCAACATGGAGGGGATCGTGTGAGGAGAGATGACAGCTTATGGGCGATCCTGAAGCCAGCCAAAGAGGAATTCAGAGAACAAGATGAAAAGATGTGATGCTTCATTCGGAACCCAAAGCAATAATATTAATAATAGTGTGTTCAAGTTATACTCTTATGTTCGTGTTCACAAAGAAATTTGACAATTCTGTTTTTAAACGACTACTGCTACTACTGAAAGAAAAAGGTACCCCCATTTAAGCCCAATTCAGATCATTATCACACGACTGGAGCTAGCAGCTTGTATTCTCTTAAACTACACTATCTCTATCCATAGTATTTGTTTATATCACTTTTTACATTTTCACACATGAAAGATATCCTCTCTTAATACTCAGTTCATGTACTGAATGTTACCAAATATAAAAAGTCATGGACGTTACGTTTCCATTGGTGAGAAAAACACTGAATATAAACAAATCAATACTTTTGAACATTAACACCAATGTGAAGTCGGTCAGAAACTTGCACTGAGTGTCACAAAAAGGATTGCCAACAGTCAGCTGCAGACTTTCATCAACAGCTGCCCACTTCGTTGGCTCCATACTCAAGATCAAATGGCCAGAAAGGATAAGCAACAAGAAACTCTGGCTGGGAACAAACCAACAGGCGAGAGCCGGTCGCTCAACAAATATGTAGGAGAAAGTGAAGATGGACCGGGCATTCATTGAGGAGGCCGCCGAATGACATCGCATGCCCAAATGGGGAGTGACGAGTGGGTTGTCGGTGCGAGGGTGACATAGAGGCGATCGTGTGAGGAAGAGATGAGAGAGTTTGGTCAATCGTGGACCCAACTGAAGAGGACGGCAGAGAGTAGAACAAAGTGGAGATGTGTTGTTGAAGCCCTATGTTCCACTCGGAACGCAAGGGAATAATCATAATAACAATAATAATACTTTTGAACATATTCCTTTAAACTGACTTTAATGAATAAAAAACAGTTTAAGCAATACAATGACTTACACAAATTGTCAGTAGCCTCAGTGTATCCATTATGTCGGCGGTCTTCTGAATCACTTGACTTTCTGTTTATTGTTTCATCACTTGAATCTGAATGATTAGAATCCGCTGACAATAATAATAAGTCATTATCTTCAGGCTGTGAAAAGCCTACAGCATTATTATTATTGTTATTATTATCATTATTATTATCACCATGAATTGTTGAATTAGATTCTTCTTCTGATTTATGTGTATGACTTGAACTTGGTGGTGATGAATCTTTGGGTTTTGTTAAAATGCATATAGTTTTCTCTTCGAGTGGATTGAATAATGTGCTCTCAGTAGTAGATGATGAATGATACTCATCATTATTCACTTCATTTGGTAAACAGAATATATGATGTGGATCGGATAGAATTTGTGGAGATAATGGAATACTGCCTAACTGGTAGTGAAGAAAGGAAAACAATGCAATGGATCAAGTTATGACAACGAAACGTGGGGTGTAATAAAGTGAAAATTATCTACGAATTTCATCATGAGCTGATATTGGTTAGAGAACCATTGGAAAACCAGCTGGGAATACTGGACAGCTGTTTCGTCAGCCCAGTTTGGGACTCTTCGGCAGTACGCACCCACCAGGGTTCGAACCCAGGACCTTCTGGTTACAAGGCTAGCTCGTATAACATTAAGCCACTGGGACCAGATCCAATGGCCCATGAATTCTAACTTCTGCCAATTCACGATATAGCGACACCGCTAGCCAATGTCTTCGGCGAGTATTTGTCCTCACACCCGACCTGCTGCACCCTACTGGTCACGACTTCTCACTAGAACCCAAGGTAACTACCTACCTGAAAAGGGTAGGTGCAGCGGGTTAGGTGTGAGGGCAAATACTCGCCGAAGACCTTGGCTAGGGGTCGCGCTATGTCATGAATTGGCAGAAGTTAGAATTCACGGGCCATTGATCGGGTCCCAGTGGCTTAACGGTCTACGAGCTCGCCTTGTGACTAGAAGGTTCTGGGTTCGAACCCCGGTGGGTGTGTACTGATGAAGAGTCCCAAACTAGTAGGACGAAACAGCTGTCCAGTACTCCCAGCTGGTTTTCTACCGGTTCTCTAAACGATGTCAGCTCATAATGAAATCCTGTAACCAATCAATCAACTCCCTACAAACCAACACTTGAATATCTAGGAATTGCTTTCTGTTGTTACTATAATCCTTAAAATACTGGAATTTCTTTGATATTGAAGTTTGCACTGAAGATGTTGTAAATTTTTTGGTAGACAATAGAACTCTACCTGACATTCAGCAGAAATGACAAGTTCACGTTATTGATGCTTATTCTTACACTTAAATAACAAATTTTACCGCTCTAGTCATTAAGTATTAATACGCTAAACTAATGTGGTGTTACTTATAATCAGATATAAGTAGTATATCAGTAAACGAGTTCATAAAAGTAACAATATGCTTTGGACACTAGAAAAAGGCAATCGAAGAAGAGAACTATGAGAAGAACATTACAAACACTGTGAAGAATCCAACAAGCTATTGAATGTGGTGATATTCGACCAATTTGCGAATAATGTGCAAATAAAGATATAAAGATAAGGTATACCAGATTTATGTGCCTACAATGAGTTTGTCCTAGTAAACATTCCTTCGATCATCATCGGTTTTTTCTTCTTTACGCAACGACTATGGAAACAAGAGAGCACAACTATGAAATCTATGGCTAGTAGAAATTATTACCATAACAAAAAGGTTAAGAGAAATAGAAATCACCTCAGAATGAACACAAACGAGCAATCCAGGTGTCTGGAGCAAGTAATGCTAACCGACTGCTCACATCACAATAGACAGAGTGAGGTTTAAACGTGTTACTCACTCGGCTGATCGGAAGCTCATTATCTTGATGAGTGAAAAACAACTTCACATAATGAGGTGTAAGAAAAATAAATAACAGTTATGTGAATACTTCTTACCTTATTACAACAAACATTCGATAGTATATGATAAAATCTCCAATTAGCTTCCTTATAATCGAATGGATCTAACCGCTCAGCTTGTTGACGACCACAAGAACATGAGCTTATTGTCACGGTATTAGAACGATGCGGCATCACGGCCAAATGTTGACCTGGATGTGTATTACGACTGGTTTTTTCACTATTTAATAATTTCTTATGCCGTGAAGTATTTACTAAATCTTTGATGGCACATTCTAACCAATAACGTTTCCATTTTCTACTGAGACCTAATTATTGTATAAGAGAATGAAAAAAACAAAACAGTTGAAAAACAGTATCAAGCGGTTCAGCCATTTCATGTACATACAAAACTATTATTATTACAGTGGAGATTTGATTCACTAGCGTAGGCAATAGACTTAGGCCAGTGGATCTCAGAGTTCCGTACCATCTACCTCAGCCCTGATAACTGCATAGTATCATCGGCCCTGACACATAATAAGTGCAACTCTTGGCTCAGTACATGAAAGGTAGGTGTACTGGGTAATCGAGATGAACCAACAACTATTACTGAGAAGGAATAGTATAATAGGCACCCAGGTCGAAGTAGATTTTTGCCTCCATAAACGACTTGGTAGGGCCAAAGGTGGGTAGGTCTCGGTCTTGCTCACCAAATGTTCTCGTGTGGTTATGTCTTCATAGCTTCTGCCAGGTAAGTCCTATGCACTGCCTTCACATGGGGTAGGGGTCTTCCTCACAAAAGTGAAAGGACGAAAGCGAACGTCTGTCGTTTACAACTGGACTGAAGGACACTCTGACCTACACCTAGAGGAGCTGGAAAGCTCTGATTGCAAAGCAACAGTGTATATGGACTCCAGAGCCTAATGGCGTATGGACCTATTTTAGTCACCGGCAACCATGGCAACTCAGCTCTTGACGTTGCCCCACTGCCTAGTGGATCCAGATTTCAAGTCAAAGGCTCGGTGGGTGACAGTATCCCAGCATTCATACAAGCTATGAGATTTTGCGAAGCACATTTCTTGCCGCCCATAATGTACCATGCTTGTGTTTCAATAAATATAACATAATAGTAGATATGATTAGTTTTTACTGAATCTGACCAGTAAGAAAGAGTTTCTTTTCTAAGTGTTTTATAGAACTTATACCATTTCGAATCTACAAAAAGAGTTTTCGGTTACCAAACTAAACTATTTTCCAGGTTACAGTCCCCTAAAGTAAAGATGAGGAAGTTTGTACGAAGCTCAAGAGGTCAGTGAATATGTACAAGGTTCTCCACTCATTTAAAAATCTAGGCATCTTCCGTGTGCAGTCATTGTCTTGAGATCTTGAGTAAAGTTGGTTGAAATTAATCTCAATATTGAAAATGAGCCTAATTTTAGTATTCCTGTATATGAAACTAATGAGATCATTCGTCAGCATTCTGATCTTCTCCCATTCCCAGTGTCAGAATTTAAACACCTACTGCTAATGTGTACAATGGATGTACAATTCCAGTTTGACACTTTACCGCCCAATAAATGGTGTAGCTATGGTTAGTCTGCCTAGCCCCTCTTTTAGCACACATCTTTCTTTCCAACCTTGAAAGAACAAAGTTGAGGCATGAAATCAACGAAACAACTTCTTATTATCGATATGTCGATGACACATCTGTAGTGTGCAACAATGAAAGTCACGCTTCCTACCTACTCGGATTATTCAACGAGGTACATACAAATATTGAATTTACTGTGGAAAAATGAAAATGATGGAAAGTTTCATTTCCTTGACATTGCCATGAAACGCCTGGAAGACAGTAACCTCCAGAGGTCGATTTACAGAAAAAGCCGACGTGGAATGGGCAATACTTGCATTTTAATAGTTTTTGTCCAAAAGGCTTTAAACAAGCTCTAGTAAAAACTCTGTTTTATAGAGTCAGTCAGGAGAATATGTTCTACAGAAAAATTAGAGGAAGAATTTATGATTCTCGAAAAGATGTTGAAAAATAACGGTTACTCCCAGAGATTCATTCACAAGTACGTAAGATGTGAAGGCTCAGATATCAAACAAATCACAGTGGGGTAAAAGCCAGTCTTCATTCAACTCGATTTTGAAGGTGATAATATCACAGGGATAGTCAACAAAAGATTGAATACGTCACTAACCACAGCCTACCCTGAAGCTAAGTTGGTTGCCGTTTATCGGACAACATGCTCCCTGTTGCAGTCAAAAGTCGACAAATACCCTTTTCGTGTTAACTCTAACTTTGCATGCAAATTCACATGTATCTGTGGGACCAATTACATTGGGAGAACTAGAAAAAAGGGCACACCTCCAAATTTGTGAACATTTACCACAAAAAGCCTACATTTCTCAAGGGAATAAACGCTTTCAACAGTGCCATTGCTAGACATCTCCTTGATACGGGTCATGAGATGTACATCGCAAGATCCTTCAAAATTATCAATAGACAAAAGAGCTAAACTTTCCTCAGGTATGCTGAAGCAATCTCTATCAAGCGCCAGAAACTTGATTTGTGTGTTCAGAAAGAAGCATTACATTCTGTATGGTAGTTATTGTTTAGAATAAAGTTATTATTACTATTATTAGCATTGTATGCATATATTGATTTTTTGTTTAAACTTGAACTCTTTGTGTATGTTAAAATTATCTCTGTACATAAACTTAATAACTTCTTTAGGTTGTAAGCAGCTGATGAGGAACCAACGAAATAAGCGATGGCACCATTTTATTCTTCACAAATTGTTGCTCTTGCTTTATTCAAAATATTATTCAAAATCAATATGTATGCCTATGATTCAGTTCAATTCACTTATGAGTTCTTGCTCTGTTTCAGCTGCTCAAGGAACTTAAAATGCCTTTTATGTTAGATTTCAGAGTACTTTTTGGCTATTGAATCCACCCCAAACCCTTATATGCATTTGAGTTTCACTACAATGACGTGTCAGTCGAATAGCTTACTGAGAGCATTACAAAACTGACATTTAGGACTAGAAAAATACCTGGTTTATCATTTCGCGATCGACTAACTTCTCTTATGCATATAAAATAATAACTTACCAGAAGGAATAATATATTCCTCTTTAGCCTTCAAATCAACTCCAGTTAACTGGTTTGTAGTAGAATTCGATCCATACTGATGCTGATGTGAATAATTCACATTATCATCATTAAAAGCTGCAAAGTCTTCTTTACTTTTTTCATCTATTGTTGAAAGAATAGTCTGAAGAGTGTTCAAATCATCTGGTACACGATGGAATTCATGTTGACATGTTTGACCTGTTAACGATAAAGCTGGACAGACAACACGTCCAGCTACATAGAGATAGGTTAGTCGATGTGCCAGTTTCTCTAACAACCGAAACATTGAATGACCACGGGTTAAACCGATGACAACATTATATGCGGAAACAACCTGAAAAATTATAACCCAGGATATAAAGATGTTGTAAACTACACGAATACATACAGTAGTCAAATGAAAATATAAGTTAACTAAATTAACAATACACAACATCATTGCTTTTCATAATAAATAAGTATTCAGTACGTATGGAAAGATATAATAATAAGGACAACAGAGTTTTCCGAACAAATCAATTAGCTTCAAGGCTAAACATGGAAATTCAGTAGTGATTGGTTGTCATGATCATCTCATTATTGCAAACGACTAATCAATAACTATCACTGTGTTGCTTTACAGACATTTCATTGGTTACAGGTTTGACCGCGAGTTGACATCAGTTAGAGAACAACCATGGGAGAACCTGGAAGTACTGGACAGCTGCTTCGTCCTAGTTTGGAACTCTACGCACCCACTAGGGTTCCAACGCAAGACCTTCCGGTTTATAGGTGAGCTCTTAGACCATTTAGTTACTGGAATCTGATCCGACGGCCCATGAATTCCAACTCCTGCCAATTCGTGAGATATATATGTAGCGCAACTGCCAGTCAATGTCATCGGCGAGTAACTGAACTCTTGCCTGACTTGGTGGACCCCACTTGATACTTAATCTGATGCTCACTAGTGACTGGCTCTACAAAGGAAGTTACTTGAAACCCTAGTAAGAAGTCGTAACCAGCTAGTTTCACCAAGTCAGGTAAGAGATCAGTCAGTGCAGTTACGCCTGACTTCCACAGCATTTAAATTCAAAGGAGAAATATACAAGAAAACTGAGGCATTTGCGATGGGGTCACCAATATCCCCGGTTGTTGCGGATATATTCATGGATAGGTTGTGGAACTTGGCGACTGAAACGTTCAACTCTAAAGTTTGGCGGTGTGTAGATGGCACGTTCACCATACTTAGAACACAGGACATAAATAGATTTTTCGAACACAACAACTTGATGGTGAGGGTAATTCAATTCACTTATGAATTGGAAAGTGGAGTAGGGGAGTTCCCAATGTTAGATTGAAGCGTAAAAAGGAAAGAAGATGCGAAGTCAAACACTAGTGTTTACAGGAAACCCACACATTCAAACCGATATTTGGATTTCCGATCATCCCATCCCATGTCAGTAAAAATAAGATTGGTAAAATATTTAAGTAATAGGGCACAAAAACTAAGCAGTGCCAAGGAGAATGTAAGACAGGAAGTGAGGTGTATAAGAGAAGCTTTGAAACTTAATAATTACCCTGATAAATTAGTCAGAAAGTATGTAGGGAAATGTAAAAATAAAAATAATGGTGGTGTTATTGATAATAATAATATTATTAACGGTATTAATGACGACATGCCTATCAAACACGCACAGAATATTGACAAAACCAACAGTAGGGAATTTAAATCATCAGTAGTACTTCCATACAAAGAAGGAACCTCGGAAACCTTATGGTGAATTTTTAAGAATGCGGGAGTAAAAGTGGCACTCAAACCCACTTAGAAATAAGCTTTGTCAGTTAAAGGATCCTGTTTAGAAAAGTAAAAAAACAATTTAGTTTATCTAATACCCTGTCTTCAGTGATTGTCAGGTCAAATACATAGGTCAAAGTAGTAGAACGGGGTCGGTCAGACTAGGGGAGCACAAAAACCTGGCCAAATCTCGAATAGTTGACCCTAATAAGGTAAGAAATCTGGAGAATAGTTCAGCTATAGCACTACATGCAATCACACACAAACATACAATAGGATAGGATAAAATGACAGTTTTAAAATCTGATCTAATATAAAAGGGTGGAGAGAACCAAATGCGAATACGTGTAATACGAATGATTCAACACCTGTCCAACCGGATATCTGGAACATCCTACTACCCCTACGAAGAATAGGAATGGATGAAGAAAACTGTAAAACGAAAGTTTCGAAGTTGTGTTATTATGATTGATATGATTATGAACAATAGACAGATGCAGTTGACCTGAACTAAACATATGATCACATAAAAGTTAACTGAGGTATTCTTTAACCTAAATATCACACAGAAAGTCACAATAGTTTTTCTTTACGAGTCTTTTTAGCCAACACAACCAGTTACAAACAGTCTGTCAAGTTCATATCCTTATGTAGTCACACCAACTATAGCTTTTCGATTTAATTTGAAACGACAATGCTAATCAAGTCAACAAATAGCTACAAAGCAACTGTATAATTCTGACAATTAAAAATCTACAAAGTAATACACACAATTAACTTGTTCAACTTACTTTAATCATATGGTAAGTATACGAATAGTGAACAGGTAAATCTTGTTTGTAATGCGTTTCAGCAGCAGAGATTGCAGCTCGATAACGAACAGCAGCAAGACGATTAACTGGATCTGTAATAGACCAAGGATTACTATAATTTGAAGCTAACAAATCTTCTTCCTCGTCAATTACAGATTTTTGTTGTGTTTGTTTCTGAGCTACATTCAATGTTGATGTTGTAAGCGTAGGACACAGGAGTGAGGTCAGTGTATTATGCCATGATTGCGACAAGCTCATTCCCGCGATTACTGTACCTTTGCCACCGGTTGTATAAGATGTTGAGTTACTGTGACCACTAGTCATTCCAGAGTTTAGCACTGTTATTAGATGTTCATCTGCCATTAAACTTGTATATATCCTGTAGCACGCCTAAAAATTTATTTTAAACTAATTAATTAATTAATCAATCAACAATTTAAATATATAGGTTAGAGAACCATTGAAAACCAGGGAGTACTGGACACCTGCTGTTTCATCCTAGTTTGGGAATCATCGGCAGTACGCACCCACTGGGATTCGAACCCGGGACGTTCCGGTTACAAGGCAAGCTCGTATACCATTCAGCCACTGGGACCCGATTTAATGGCTCATGAATTCTAACTTCTACCAATCCGTGATTTTAGCGCGACCCCAACTATTGTCGTTGGTGGAAATCCATCCACACGTGACTTCTAATTGGACCTCACTGGTCACGACTTCTCACTAGAACTGCAGGAAGCTCCAACCTGTAGCAAGTCACTAGCGAGCATCAGAATAATCTTCTATAGTTTGGTTTGTAAGGATTAGTTATGCCGATGATTCCCAAACTAGGATGAAACAGCAGCTGTCCAGTACTCCCTGGTTTTCAATGGTTTTCTAACTGATATCAGTACGTGATCAACTCGTAAAACATAACTAATCCTTACAAACCAAACTATAGAAGATTAAATATATAGATTTATTGATAATGAGACAATGGGAAGTACCATTAGCCCCAACGGGTTGATCGCTGACGAAATCTCAACACGGATACAGAGAGCTAGTTTCGCATATGCAAGTAGACCTGATATCCGGCTATCGACCAAAGGGTGGGTGTACTGTTCAGCAGTCCGCTTCGTCCCCGTTTATGGCTGTGAGACCTGGCCATTCAGAGTGGAAGACATAAAAAGATTAGCTGTCTTTGATCATAGGTGTCTGCGTTCTATCTCCCGCGTGAGGTGGTATAATAGGGTAAGCAATATTGAGGTTAGGAGTCGAATGTTAGGTGAGGAGGGGAAGTTTATCGACGAGGCTGTGAAATTACATCGACTGAGATGGTCAGGACATGTGTTACGTATGCCTTGTCATCACCTTCCTAGACGGTCAATGTTAGCTGACATAGGGTCAGGCTGGAAAAGATCTATCGGCGGTCAAACCAAAGCATGGCTTCATCAGTCAGTGAAATCCACAACAGTTAGTTTAAGCCCCGTTGGAAAGTGTAAACTTCCTGGTTGGGGTCCTAGGGACGGTACAAACCAATGGTTGGAAACAATTGGTGATATAGCTCAAAATCGTTCTCAATGGCTCAGATGCATCCACTCCTTGTGACTTATAAATTCCAATGGAACTGTATTGTTCTTCGTTATTACTATTCTTTTGTGTCACACCTCTGTTTTCTGTCTCTATTCTAATATGCATTTCTCCTACTTTCTTCTCTTGCTTTGTGTGCTACATGGAGTGTGGCGACTTGAACTGCCACATATCGGTGCAAAGTTCTATGTCGAAAACAGACAGACAGAATGAGACAATGATTCACGCATATGCTTACGACGTATGCCTATCAAGTGACTATCGAAGGTTTGAAAGTGCAATCTGAAGTTCAACATAACATTTATCCGTAAACACAAAGCCACAATTGACAACACTGATTACTAGTTATTATAAAATAATGGACGAAATAGTTGAAACATACTGCATAATGCGAATTCGTTTTAAAGATAAATTATGTAATACTTTTATGCATAATATTAAGGCCCTTAAAGTAGAATTTCGCACAGGTATACACAAGTATACAATTATCAAACCATAGTCAAAGTTCACAAGAGGAAAGACAAAGCAATGAAACAATAAGGGTAGCACTAAGAGTAACACCAGCTCCAGGGGTAAAAAAAGGTAAAAGAGACCCACTGCCCAACTAAGACACTTGACACACTCAAATAGGATAGATAGACCTAGGGAATAAAATCCTGTCATTGTTTATAATATTTCTTTCAATATTTTTTTAATAATAATAATTTGCTTTATTCCAAAACAGTACTCGTGATACAGAATGAAATTCTCAACATTTTTACTACAGTATTGCATCAACTTAGTACATTATCAATAAATAGAATTCTACATAGATTGAGGAAACCACAGTTCATTATTATAACAATACATTGGCATGTCAGTAGCAAAGGTAAAGCTGAAAGTGTTTGAAGGTGTAAGAAAAGTAGTTGCTGTCATATTTACTGGCGTAAGCGGAAGAAAGAAACAAAGCAGCACATAACGGAAAAAGAGAGAGAAAAGGAAAAGAAAGAAAGAAAATGTTGTACCTATAAATGATATGAGTTGGAAAGACGAGGTCCAGTTGTTCTGCTGACTATTTAATGAATTATAGGTATCACGCCTAATACTTTCTTTATCGCACAGAACACGAGCTAAGTAGGGTATGGTTGAGTTTTTGTACTTGCTGGTGCGAGCATATAGTTTTCTATATAGGCTTCTGGTTTTGCCTGATGAGATGCAAGGGGAGAGTTGTGAGTGAATTTTTTGTGAATTCAACTGTAAATAAATGAAGTGCAATAACAAATCTTACCATAAACCATGATTTACACGTTGGTAATTCGTAGGCTGGTGAAGTGTAACCATAAGAAGAATTTCTATTCGTTGCTTGATCGAACAGGTTTGACACATGTAAACGCAGAAATGAGTGTAAACTATGATCTGTAGGCTGATCGGGTCCAGGATAATTCCATGGTGATGGTGGTGAGAATAAATCCCTTGGATCATATTCTTGTTGTTGTTCTTGTTTTTCATCAGATGATGAAAATAGTGTTGAAGATCCAGTAAGATTAGGGATTTTATCAACAGACAAATTTGAGATGTCACTAACATTGTTCAGAATGAATTCGAAATAATGCTGAGCCAAATCATCACAATATATTCCACGATTAGTTTCTCCATTAGTGCATTCATTGTCATACAGAACATGTACATAATTATGCCCTGGAAGCATAAACAGGTGATTTGCAGGAATCCTATGGAAGATAAAAGTGAAAATAATAATGATGATTTTTTTTCCCGATGAATGAAATTTGATACATAAAGGAAAGGATTTTTGTATTTCCCAATGAATGAAAAACAAAACGATATTTGTTTTTACTGCCGTTTCGCTATTTGATGCCAACAGCTTTATCAAAGTATTATTAAACCGGAATTTACAAAATCTCAGCTTATATATAAAAACGTAATCATCGTTCCTCAGTATGGGGTCATTTTTGCGTTGTCAAATTGGCCAATCGGTAAAGATAACAAAATCAGTTGTAGATTGGTGGATTTGATCAGTGTGTAAAATTATAAAAGCAGTGTGTTTACATAGTGAAGCTGCTTATCATATTCGTGTTGATTTTGTCATATCATGGAGGAGGGAGGTGTTGTAACCAGGTCGAATTCTGTTTTAGTCCATCATTCTTATTCAGAATATTTGGATTCTATTTGATATGAAGTGCTTCTAATGATATTAAACGTTCTTTGTGATTTCTGAAATTTTTCTGGATTATTTCAATATTGTCCAAATCAAAATTGTGGCCTGATTCTATAGTGTGTAGACCACCTATGGCTGACTGATGATTTTTCAAGCTTTTCTAGTTCAACTGTGTTTCTTGGTGGTCGAACAAATGCTCTATGATGTTCATTTCTTCTGATTTTGATTTCTCGCGATGTTTGTCCGATGTATATCGTATATCGCATCAAATTCAAGGCATTTTACTTTATAGACACAATTCGATAGAGAATCTTCAGGGAATCGGTCTTTCATATGGACAAGGTTGCTTCGCAGTGTCTGATGTTTTGAAGAAAACTCTAATATCGAGCTGATTGAGTACTCTTCCGATATCGTCTGACGTCTCTGCTCTATGTGGAATGACAACTGTTGAGGTCCATGTTTTCGGAATACGTTTTTCAACAATCTACACCTGATTTTGTTTTCTTTACCAATTGGTCAATTTGACAACGCAAAAATGAACCCATACTGAGGAACGATGATTACGTTGTTATATACGTGAGCTGAGATTTTGTAAATTCTGGTTTAATAATACTTCGATAGAGCTATTAGCAGCAGCATTAAATAGCGAAACGTCAGTAGAAATAATATCTTTTTGTTTTTCATTCATTGGGAAATACAAAAACCTTTATTATAATGAATATCATATGCCGAATGCTCAAACTTTTTCACTGTTAAAAGTGAACTCGGTTTGGACATATAAGAAGGAAAGGAGTTAAAAGAAGTCTATGGTAGTGAATACATAAACATGGAATGCTACTCGAAAAGCTTCGAAATAATAGAAAGTAAAAACGACGCGATGAACTACACATATACACTATGGATACATATACGACTGGGTTTTTGCTATATGCAACACAATGCAGACATGTTATAGGTCTCTGTCTATCTCTTAGTGTACAATTCGATATGAAAGGAAGTATCCAGAAACTAACATATATGAGTTACAAAGACTAATTCTTACACAGTGAACAATAAAGATGTGGTACCAACTGCTATGCAATTGTATCGTGTAAATTTATATTTACTGTCTAATATTGTCAAGGAACTTGACGGGTTCGAGCAAGAAAATCAAACTTAATTTTAAAATTTGTACTTGAACTTAAGACTATCAGGATCCCAAAACTTTAGTTTCGAGGGATGACTACAACACATTAAAAACCTACCGTATTCAGAGATTCCTCATTGAAGCGAAGACATGAAAGAATCTTAGACGGTTGGAGGCAATCGGCAGGAAGCCTTGGACCTAGGTTAAGTGCTAGTTGGCACTCGTTAGCAAGGCGTATCTGCAACCTTCAAGGAACTCATTTCCCTTCTGAGATTCGAACCCGCGTCACCCAGTGCTGCAGTCAGAGACGTTACCACTGAGCTATTCGGGCTCGCGATTGACCACCTGTAGGATATTTTGATTTGACACTAGTAACTAGTGCAATGTGTGTCTAGTCCTCTCTTTGGTGCACACTGAATTCTATCAGTCAGGTTGTAATGTAGCCACCATTCTACGTAGCTCGCCATCACGGTGCACATTGATTTGATGATATTACATGGTTGGAGGCAATCGGCAGGAAGCCTTCGACCTAGGTTTCGTGCTAGTTGGCACTCGTCAGCAAGGTGTATCTGCAATCAATTGGAAATGAATCAAATATAATTGAATTTCGCTGAGCAACACTATGTATCACTGGTCAAAAAGCTTGCACATGAAAGGAGTACTGTGGCGTGTGTTACTGACAAGATTTAGCAGTAGTACATATAAAGAGACGTTTATCGGCATAAAAATATCAAGTAGCAGAGAGATGGGATATATGACATCAACGAGAGGAAATGGACGAGTATTGCGGCAAAACATGGAAAACACGAAAAGAAGAAAAATAAATACAATACGAAGGGTAGAAGTAGCACAATACTGAAGATCTGACGATTTTAATATGTGGTTGGTATACATAATTTCCTTATATGTGTATATCAAATTGCAAATAAATATTCATTTTACCAACCACTCTTGTGTTTTTTCCGATACAGAACTATTTGGAAAATTGCTCATTATTTGTATAATTTTAGTTGCATATTAGTTTGTTTATTAGATGTATCACACAGTGAAACAGTATTATTTACTGGATGACGTTTCGAACAAAATTTATTGTTCATAATCATTTCATCACTTATAATCACACGACTTTGAAACTTGAGTTTTATAGTTTTCTTCGTTCTTTCCTATTTGCCGTCATAGGAGTAGTAGAATTTTCCAGATATCTGGGTGGACAGGTGTTGAATCATTCCTATTACATGTATTTGCAGTTGATTCGATAAACAAAGCTTCTCTTATCAATCTCTCCCACCACCCTTTTATATTAGATTAGATTTTAAAACTGTCATTTTATCCCATCCTATTGTATGGTTGTGTGTAACTGCATGTAGTGCTATAGAAATGATTCAACACCTGTCCACCCAGATATCTGGAAAATTCTACTACCCAAACGACGACAAATAGGAAAGAACAAAGAAAACTATAAAACTCAAGTTTCCAAGTCGTGTGATTATAAGTGATTACATGATTATGAATAATAAATTGTGTTCTAAACGTCATCCAGTAAATAATACTGTTTCATCACTGTGTGATACATCTAATAAACAAACTAATAAGGAATTACTTAGTACCACAGTGCCCAAGTTTTACACATGTATAATTTTAGGACACGGATAAATTCAATTCATGGAACATTCAAACTATTCGAGCTAATGCCTATTTCAATGAAGCCTCTCAATTTACAATTTGTTTTATATAAAGCAAAACTCAGTTTTAGAGTCGTTTGCTGATCCATCCACGAAGTTCTTCTACAGCCACTCTAATCTCTACCTTAGAGTTAAAAAAAAATTGTTACAACTTCGGGTTTATACGGATTTTCTTTAAAAGAATCTATACTCTTATCTGTCTAAGTGACAGAGACAATGTTAAGAGTGAAGCTATACACTGTTGTTGTTAATAACATAATTTAGGCTCTTTATTTCTCTCTTATTTTGTATTCTATGGTGAACTCTTTCTTAAACATACTTAGCTACCTAAATTATTAACATTGGCTTACTTTTTTGTACTTTACTGTATTCCTTCTTTTGTGTATCTACTGATTCCGATTATATAAGCACTATGAGTAGTACAAAATTTTCCTGTCATTAATCAACATGTAATCATTAGTTTTTGTGGTTGCTTTTTTTCTTTTTTCTTTTTTTCGGCAATATTAACTGACAATCATTGGTTGTGAACGCCATTGTCATCCTAAAAATTTTGTATTATGCAGGATTACTCACACTACCACTACAAACACTGCATTAGACCTGACAATAAAGAAAACAAAACAACAACCCTGAAATGTTATTTTATGATTGTTTTAGAGTTGTTTCAACCAAATTAACTGATCATCTTGGCAATAAACATTCTTAAATTTCATTTCATAACTTCTTGTACCACTATAGCTTTACTGTCACCACTACCCAATACTGAGTTATTATTATATGCTATTTATTTTCCTTTCTACTTCTTGGTATTTTTCTCTTTTTTTTCTTTTTTTAAATTATTTTGTGGTTTTCCTGTTTTTTTGTTTTTTTTTGCTGTTGGTGTCTGTATATTCATTTTTTTTGAGATACTCCTTTTAAATGTTTGATAAAATTAGATGCAAATATTGTAGATATGTGCTGAAAATTCCACACTGTACCACTAGTACTGTTTCTGGAATAAAGCAAATTATTATTAAATAATGGGAAGAAACCGGGTATATCAATATTCTTATGATTTGGATTTGGCTTTCTGTGAGTACGCAATAAAAGAATAACTTATAAATCCTCAACAGTGGAGAGAGAAAATTTGGAATTATATAGTTATGAAAGTTTTAGGATCACAAATATATATATACGGATACTTATAGGCTTACGTGCTAATAAGACCAGTTTCATATAATGTATTGAATATTTGAGTAACAATTTTCTGTTCTAACCGTTTAACCATCTTCCAATCCTAAAAGTGAAGATATGAAAGAATCGCACTGGATTTAACTGTAGACCTGAAAATGGATATTCAATAAAATGAGTTTTTCTTCTCGTGTGCATGCTTTTGGGATAGATAGATAGTTTGATCTCGACGCAGTTATTGTCCTATATGATATCTTCAGTGCCAACTCCAGAATTGAACTATTCAGGTTAGAGAACACAACAACATTAAAGACAGACACCTAAGCTACAAATTACCTCCAGTATTCTAATACAAAATGAATTTCCACAAAGGTAAAAAGCGGTACATTATTGCACCAGCCTAAACAGTTTTACTAATAAGATGGATATCAAGAGAAAACAGAAACTAAATATTAGGACGGATCACTTTGTAAAAAAAAAAGAAATGGGAGAGAGTAATAAGATGTAGTAGGTCTATAGGAGTAACACAGTCCGACTAGCTCTACTTGCAACAACAACAACAAAAGGTGGATAATTCTATAGTTAGAAGTTTACCGAATGATTGTGAGTGAGCAAAGACGGCGAAAGATGAGATAAAGGTAACAGCCTCAGTAGTAAACTGAGTACGGAAGTATTAATGGTCTGCGCAGAAGGCGGACAGTCTCCTACTTACCCTGGCCAACGATACCATATCACCATGTGGTCTGTTTGAGACCAACATTTGTTTGGTGATGGAGGTCACCAGGTTACGCAATGTCTCTCTTTGTGCCTAAAGTTAGTGCTGAAAAGAAACAGACGATTACGTGAACAGAACTGTAGAAGACGATCACCGCTGTCGGCTCGTCAGGAGGGAACTCTGTACGTACCACCTACATACTTCTCAGTCTGGCACAACTTCCCTACTTGGGCATTGCAATCGCTTGCTAAAACAAATATATCTGAGTATTTTGCTTTTTGCAGTAAACTAGACAGTTTCTGGTAGAAATCACCCTTTAATTCAATCGACCTTCGGTCTGTTGGGGCGTAATTGGAGACTATGAAAAGATAATGACGAGTAACGCCGTCCTTCCTTCTTCTAATGGACCTGTTTGGTTAGACCGCACTCTTACAACTATCTAGTGGGATCCAGTCAAGAAGTAATTTTTCTACCCTAGCGCTCAATGCTATCCCTACACCTATGAGTCCTTGCGAACTAGCTGGGGAGTCTCCTGAAACCCTTAAGATGGATTTCGCAGATTCACCTTGTTGGCTGAATGCGATTAAGTGAATGACCACAGTCGGGTCTTGCATACACGTCTCCGAAACAAAACATACACCCATGGCTCGAGATGCCAGAGTACCGGTTAGTGTCGCCTGTTGTCCGATTTGGCAGAGAGTCCTGACGTTAAAAGCTCCTATATGAAGTTGGCGACGTGGCTTTAAAAGGCTATCTGGGGTGTTTCTGTGGCTCTCATCGTTATTTGTTGTCACAGAGTGAAGTGAAGGTGCCTCACTAACCTGAAGAATAGTAGTAACTGTAGTAGGGGAATGAGATGATGGTGATGTGGGTAGAGGAGAATGATGCTCAGAAAGGCTTCGTGTGCTCTCGGAAGTGTGTGGGTGGTTGTTACTTCCCGGCTGCCCACACCGTGGAAGTTGATTGATTCTTCGGGTACCTGAAAAAGTAAGGGGGTTAGTGTTGCGTGACTTCAGAGCCCAGGGGACGACTGCTTGAGGCCGGTCAGCCAAGGCCTGTATGAACTGTCTTTTCGGATTGGTTCCGTATAAGTAACTTACCATCGGCTATGGACCACCGTAGGGTAAGTCGGGATGTACAATTTTTTGGGTCGATCTTTTCTAACCCCTTTTTTTCTCCAGAGTGGAGAGACAGCATGGCTGGTTGGCATGCTGGTCATCCGAGGGAAACACCTCACTGTTGTTACATCCCTGTTCATCCGCAGTACGAATTTGCCCACAGACCACCAGCATAGTGTAAAAAATTCTTGCACTATGCCAGTAACTACTTTCAGTCTAATCGTTATCCTAACAATCTTTCCGGCATGGTAGGACCTGCAGGGAAAAAAGTTCTAGCCAGTGTAGCTTGTTGAGTCATTCTGTGTGTCCGCCTGTCTATTTCCAACAGAGAACTTTGCACCGATATGCAGCAGTTCAAGTCGCCACACTCCATGTAGCACACAAAGCAAGAGAAGAAAGTAGAAGGAATGCAAAATAGAGACAGTAGACAGGTATATGAGACAAAGGAATAGTAATAACGAAGAACAATAGTTTCATTGGAATTTATAAGTCACAAGGAGTGGATGCATCTGCGCCAGTAAGAACGATTTTGAGCCATATCACATATTCTCTCCAGTTTTCATTGGTGTTTACCATCCCAAGAACCCCAACCAGGAAGCCAGTCTACACCTCCCTACGTGGCTGGCCTTACTAACTGCTGTGGATTTAATTGACTGGTGCCATGTTTTGGTTTGACCGCCGCTAGCTCTTTTCTAGCCTGACCCTATGGCAGCATTGCCCGTCGGGGAAGGAGATGACTAGGCATACGTAACACATATCCTAACCATCTCAGTCGATGTAATTTCACAGCATCGTCGATAGATTTCCCCTCCTTACCTAGTACTCGACGCCTAACCTCAATATTGCTCACCTTATTATACCACTTCACACGGGAGATGGAACGCAGGCACCTATGATCAAAGACAGCTAGTCTTTTCCTGTCTTCCATTTCCAATGGCCAGGTCTCACAGCCATAAAGAAGGATGGAGCGACTGCTGAGCAGTACACACGCCCTTTCGTCGATAGCCGGATATCAGGTCTACGCCAGAGATGGCGTAAACTGGCATATGCGAAACTAGCCCTTTGTATTCGTGCTGAGATTTCGTCGGCGATCAACACGCTGGCGTTGGCTGATGTAACTCCTCAAATAAGTGAGGCGGTCAACATGCTCTACCACTTCACTCCCTATCTTCATTCTAGAAGTCGATGTAGTCCAGTCCTGTAGCATCATCTTACATTTGGCGGGAGTGAATATTCGTAGATTGCAGCTCCAGGTGTTCAGAAGACTCTGCATTTTGCCAGCGTCTTCACCTAGAAGGACTATATCATCTGCATATTCTAAGTCAACGAGATTATTCCCTGGTAACAAGTCAATCCCTGAGTCGCTGAAGTCAGTTAGGGTTAAGTCCATTAGTACATCTAAGATGAAATTGAATAGAAATAGGGATAGTGGGCATCGCTGACGGACACCACTAGTTGTCAGCACTTTAGATGACAACTCACTGTAAACTCTCACCTGGCTGCTTGAGTTTGAATAGAGTGCCTCGATCAATGCAATGTATTTTCTCGGCATTCCCTTCACAGGCAAACATCGCCATAGTACCTCCCGGTCGACAGAATCAAATACCGCTTTCAGGTGAAGAAATATAAAGATTGTTGTAAGTCGGCAGTAAGTATGCCTATGTTCCAGAATCTGTCGAAGGGTGAAGATATGATCAATACACTCTCTTCCTGGTCTGAAGCCTGCCTGGTTCCCCGTGTTTGTTCCTCCCGTGGATCGCTTAGTCTACGCATTATTATTGAGCCCAGAACTTTAGACACCATATTAGTCAAGCTAATCCCCCTATGATTATCACAGGAAGACTTATCTCCCTTCTTGTATACTGGAATAACCGATGACTTACACCAACCCAACGGGACTTCATCTGATTCCCAGACGCTGTCTAATACTCTAGTCGACGCAGACAGTAAACTGTCTCCACCGTCCTTGAAAACCTCTGAAGTCATTCCAACAGGTCCCACTGCTTTGCCTCATTTCAGATTAGTGACAGCTTTTGTTACCTCAGTTAGTGACGGAGGACCTGTATCTTTATCCCATTCAGTGAGGTATTGGATGTTCGGTAAGGTGGGTGTGTCTGTAGGCCAATTAAACTGCTCCTCAAAGTGTTCTTTCAGCGTTCAAGTCGTCTATTCTGGGAGCTAATTATGGTACCATTTTTCTCAGAGATTGATTTACTTATCGTTTGCCTTTTACCACCTGTTTCCCTGATAAGTCTAAATAGTTGTCTGGTGTTACCAATCGCCGACGCCTTTTCCATCGGCAATATGCAAGCCCAACCACCACGTCAAGGTAGTAGCTATTAGTCGAGACACAACAGTATGACTAAGTAGAATGCCCAAAACTGAAAATTCCATGTTATGTAGTTGAGATGAATGAAGGTGCAACTTTCCATCAGGTCGAAATAAGTAAAACAAAAACCACTTTAGCACAATTATTCACTGAATAAGGTGCCACAATTATTATGTGGTTACTGTATTACATGGGTGCTGAAACCTAACTACATCATGATGATAGAATATTTACGAGCATCAGCTAAAAAACTGAGTATTTAGTCCCGCTGTGTACTTGATGAATTATAACTTCGCTAAGTGTGGACATATGATTTGATATTCTATACTCATATCTCAACTATGGGGTAATAGTTTCTGTAAGGCCATCAATACAGGCATAACAATAATTTCTCAAATTTATGAAAATCCAATCAGATATTAAGTATTTCCAATTTTGACACCATCTACCCTATATAAGTACCTGCGTATTCTGACAGACCAATTAAGGAAAAAAATTGTGTGGCTTGCCAGAAAAACACCCAATGACGTCATTATCAGCAAAACATATTAAACAAATAAAGCAATGCGTTGTTTCCTGATTCAAGTGAATGCCATTAGATATAAATTTTCCCCTCACATAAGCTACACTGTTTCACTCATGAAAAAAGCCTTATATACTGAGGGATCATAAAAACAAACTACCTATAAAACTATGAAAGTAACAATGAATTACCACAGTTGACAGAAGACAAAATACTGTTGTAAGCATTCTTTAACATACCTTCATCACTCTGAGTTGAGCGGGCCGAAGTTTGAAAACGAAGAGTAGTCTTGGAACAGAAGCACGTCCGGTGTTCAACCATTCTCGAGGTAGCGGGAGATCACGAATATAATTATCAACTGAAGAACACATTCTTATTCTGCAAGTTCAATAATAAAAAAATCCCATTTACCTGATTTTCTCCAACAATTTAAACATGCGGATAAAATCTGGACTCAGGTTTGTTCCTTGGCAAGTAATCTGTTTTGGTCAGCATAAAAATAACACTTACAACAATAAAGTGAGATACAATAAAGAGGAAATATAAGATTTTCAGTTGAGTATAATCAAGACGTTTCATTGTTCGTTCAAATGCCTGTGAACAATTTTCATAACCTCTGAACAAACTTTCTAGCTGCAAGTGGTTGAAGACCAAGAATATGACCTGGTTTTCACAATCATAGTAACCTTCGACATAATTCTGAAACGTTAGACTAAAACGAACTGAATCGTACCCTAGGAAATCCCTGGGGGAAATAAAAGAGCGATAGTTTAAAGTTACCATAACTGGAAATTTTTTCCCAATGTAACTGAATATATTAACAAATTGAGATTCGCCATGAAGTATGTCATAGTCTCCAATAAACGACACTACGGTAACTTTTCTTCCGCGCAAAGGCAAGACCCTAATATAAAAATTAAAACTTCGAGGTTACATACCTGAAATCAAATTTAGGAGGTACAGGGAAACGCCCCTGATTGTACACACAACCCACAGTCATCCCACCAATCTAAACACACCGCTAACTATGACCTTGAAAAATAATTATAATTGCCACATAATTTATCCAGCGCCAAGAACATCCAATATCCAACGTCGTTTTTACGAGCTAGTAAAAACCAATTTGATTTCTTTGTGCTCGCCTCTTGATTGTGAGGTATAGGTTCCTGATCTTCAGTAAACTTCTGCGTAGCTCGTCCCGCCACTCGACTGTCGTAGCTTTGGTTGACTCTAAAAGGAGTAGTGCAGGGATTAATTATATGTGGTTTGTAGTATGAGGTGTGTTAAGACTGTTACTACTGTGAATGGGGTTGATCCTTTCACCAGCTAGTCCTCCGGTATCGTCGTCAAAAGAAAAGAGTGATAATAATAATAGATATAATTAGTGAAGTTATTCAGACTAACAGACAGCAAAACAATAAGAAAACTTAACAACAGTCAGCTGATTAAATTTGAAGAATAATATGAATAACATATATATTTATACCGGTAATAATGATAATAATAATAGGTGTGTAACAACAGAAGACAAGGGCCAGTCAACAGATCGTTTATTAAAGAAAATCAACACATATTTATAGATTTTAACGTACATTATTGTAGATTATTGTTAGTAGAAAATACAGTCTTTTGATTGGTTGTTTCTCACAGAAAGTTAACCTTACATCTCTTTGTGGCTGTGTCAGATCATCCATATGCTAACTATGTCCGCCTACGCAAGGCCTTTGTTCTCATTTTCTCAGCACCAATATTGGGGACATAAACATTGACGTCAATTACTGTCTACCAACTTCGGCTAGCAGCCAGCTCTCACCACAGGTGTAGTTAAACCTGTCGGGAGAGAATGTAAAGAAGTAAATCCCTCCTAAGACGACAGTAGCTAAGTGTGAATAAGCCTAATTTCTTCAACCTTTCATCATATCGTTTATTTCGGAGACCAACCACTCGTTTTGTTGCCCGTCGTTGGACGCTTTCCAAGATGTTGGCCTCTCTTCTAAGCAATGGGGGTGCAATAATATTATGAACTTCAAGGTGTGGTCTGGCGTATGTTCTGTACAACCTTAGAAAGAGCTCAGGAGTGAACGCGCCTAACTATCTATGTGTAAAGTGTATGACCGCATATGCCCTCGCTACATACCCCGTGTAATTTAAGCTTGTGTCCATTTTTCCGTCGAAACTAGACCTAAGTCGCGTTCCGACGTTGTGCAGGATAAGCTTTCATTGCACAGGGTGTAACTTACATTCTGCAGTCTACAGGTGCGTAACTTCACTACTTTGCACTTTTTCAGGTTGAAAGTCATGCCACTGGCCACCGCCAGTCTGAGTACTCCGGGCACTTTATCGCCCTCCATATCTTCACGTTGTCGGCGTATAGAAGAGTCAGGCTGCTTAGACGGCATGGTAGATCATTGATATAAATCAAAAACATCAGTGGTCCTAGGATAGAACCCTGAGACACTCCTGATGACGAGTTGTGCCAAGATGATCGGACTGGATTAACCTTAGTGCAAAATTGCCTTTCAGATAGGTAATCCTTTAACCATGACAGAATTAGCTTACTTATACCTGCCTGGCTTATTTTGTGTAGGAGAAGGTCATGGTGAACAGTGTCGAATGCCTTCTCAAAGTTTAGGAAGACCACATGGACTGGAACATTCATATCCCAGAATGATGTCCAATCGTCCCAAGCTGATAGTAAGTTAGTAACGCAGGATCTCCCTTTCCTGAAATTGTGTTGGGCTTCATGGAGTATATTAGACCTATCGAGATATTCCCTGATGTGATCGTCAATAATACTTTCCAGTACTTTTGATACCACTGGGAGTAGAGCTACTGGTCTATAACTAGTGGCATTTTGCCTACCCCCACCCTTGAAGATCGGAGAAAGGGTGCTTCTTTTCCACTCCTTTGGCAGTTTCCCTGATTTCATGGAGTGTTGGAACAAGTCGCATAAGGGCCTACAGAGAGCTTCGGCGCACTGTTTCAGAACAGATGGCCTGATGTTGTCACAGCCTGGGGACTTCCCAGGTGTGAGTCCCTGTAGCTTTCTTAGCACTGTTGCGGGGTTTATTAGGGGAGTAGCCATTAGGTCTTCCTCCTGTGAAATAGTGGTGCCATCATTTTGGTCCGTAACGGTAATACCCACATTGCTGTTTAGCTGTTTGGCTAAGGCTAAACTGAATGTTTCAGCCATCTCCAGACTAGTGAGATATTGACCGTTTGGGCCTACTAAGGCCAATGCCCCTTGGTTGGTTGGTTTTCTTTCCGACATGAGTCAGTACAAGTTTTTTATCACCTCCCAGTGTTCTTCCACAGATAGCTCATCCCATTCTAGGGGCGAGTCTGCATCGGACAAGAGCCTCCGCATTTCAGCATAATCAACCTTGCTGTAACACAGGCATGGTCGCGTAACGTCCCACTGCATATGCTCACGGAGAACGAGATCGAAACCTATGACTGCATGACCACTACTTCATAGAGGAGTCATGACCTGGAACTTTTCGACGAGTAGTTGGTCACTAGTTCGAATGAAGTTTAGTTTTGATTACTTTCAACTAGTGTCGTCTCCAACATGGGTGAACAATATTCTTTAAAAGATGAGAAGGGCGCGAAAATGGTGAATTTCGACGCAAATTAATCCAAACCTTTTTTGGCTTAATTAACCGCTTTTTCCAAGTTTCCTCTTAACGAATGAACCAAGATTGCTGTCACTGAATGCGATATGTGAATCCCACATATTGCCAAGCACAATCATCTGGAGGTGATAAACTCACGGATTGCTTAATAAAGTATTGAGAGCTCCACTGTCTATCCATTTACGTGGTCGAATAATATTTTAATATTATAATGATAATAAAGCTTCGTTTCAGACAATATGTAAGCCCACAGCGCAGAAGTTCTCAGCACATTCAGTTCCAAAATGTTTTGTATTCATACATGATTTACATGTTGAGTATTAGTCTGCAACATATAACGTGATGTAGTGTTGCTTTTTAGAGGCTGACGTAATTGACGTTCGCGAACTGTACGGAGTATACTGACGCAAGATCTTATACCAACAACTTCAAAAGTATTCGTTTCTCGTGTACCAAAGACAAAGCAAGAGGCAAGATTGATCGTCCAAAGTACGAGATATATTTCGGGACCGAATTGCGGGCTGAAGTGGATGCTTAGCTGGCTAGTGATCGTGCACGCACTTGGCACGACGGAGTGCCGAATGGCACGGATGCTTGACCGGAAGCCTTCAGCTAAACAAGTCGACTTAAACAGTGAGGGTCAGCATCCGATGTTCAGTGATGATTGCTGTGGTCAATAATTTTGGGGAATTACATACCGCTACATCTTCATACCAAGACAGAACTAACCCTACTTTTTTACTTCCCCCCGAGAATTGCACAGTGTTTTGCTAAAAGCTAACTAAATATGTGCGCGAGTTTATTTAGTGATCATCTGATATAGTTCCACGATTAAAAGAATAAGAAATGAAGGAGGGTTTAAGCATTTTAATGAATTCAAATTCTGGTAGCCTAGGATTTTTAGTTGGCCACCGTTGTGATGATGACCATCAATTATAAGCATTATATAATCGAGCTTAATTTCAACTGGCGTCGGTGGCATAGCTGTTAGGACGCTCGCCGACCATGCACACGGTCCGGGATTCGATCCCCAGCCGACGCACTCCTATAATTCGCTAAAACAGAAGTTATGCTGGTGAAGAGGAAGGGTTGGGCATGAGGCTAGCAACCCCATCCTGTAAAATAAACATTGCTACAGAAACTTCAAGCCACTAGCTTGATGCCCTATTTTACAGTGGGAAACGTGAAGGAAAAAAATTTCAACTGGACAGTGCAAATATTCGACGCCCTAGAAGAGCACGAGGTATGCAACTCTTATTTGTCTGCTCCTGTTTGTTACCCAAGGTTAAATCTTAGATACGAAGGTGTCCATCTAATGCGAACGAAAACATTGAAACCAATATATATAAAAATGGAAATAAACCATAAACTGATTAGTTCAAGTAGGAAATGTACCTCATTTGTCTTCACCCAACATAGGCGACATTATGTTCTGAGGAGTCCCTAACAGGAATCTGTGAAATATCATCACAGTTTCGGGGATTCGTGAAGTTTAGGGAAGAGACCCATCTTTAAATGTTTATATTTTATCATTTCAAAAATACCGACAAAGAAGGTTGGCAGCGTCGAAAATGATTTATTTGTGTTCAGGTCAATCTTGACCAAGCTGATAACAACAGTTGATTTAATTTCCTACTATTTTCAAAAAAGGCATATCAGTCTGCTGATGCGAAATATATATAGTTATGCAGGAACATACAATATTATGTTTATTTGATTCAATAATGTATTTATTCCATTTTTGTCAGCAGTCTTATCGTAGTTTTATAATAGGAAAGAAATTTGATCTTTGATACGAAAGTTAGATAAGGTAATGTTAGATTGTTTTACTGCATCAAATGGGGTCAATTCTAGAACTATCCATTTGCGCCATTTGCGTCAGCATGGCAGACTGTACATGTAAGTTGAGTAATACATTGATAACTGTTTGAAAACCAGTTGCTTCTTTATTTCAGATCAAGAATACTCCTTGCGTTTCAAGTGGTTGCATCGGATCGTTCATGGAATTTGAGTTTGAATTTACATAAATGGTCATTTCAGTTTGGATGTTGGGTTGTTCGACCTCAACCAGGAGGTATATAGAAGTTTACGCTCAGCAGGGAGATAAAGTATGTAAATATGAAATGAACGCATTTAAATAATTGGGCCTATGGAATCGATCTTCTAGAATTTGAGAAAAGGCGGGGGTTCATATAGTTTTGTCCCTTGAAATTTTCCAAAAAGAAAATTATCTTGATACGCATTTTCCCAACGAGAACTCTCTAAAATCAGTCTACGTCCTCCTGTAGACTAAAGTGGGTGTGATATTCTTAACCACAACCTGCTCCACTCAGGATTCAAGTTTTCCACAGACTCATATTTTGTCTTTGCTAACACTCCTTTTAGTTTCTACTTTCATCGTTTATCTCTGCGCTGATACTTCTTCTGTTCTGTCATTTTTCTCTGTTCTATCCAATCTTAGGTGTGGGCGGGCAGCCATCCATTATTTTCATTGTCTCTTTTCTATACGATGTCCAAGCAATGTTCATTTCGCGCGACCTTTGAAGATATCTAGAGCTCCTCTATAATGTTCATCTCTTTGATTTTTTCAAATCTCGTTGAATCCTCCAGATAATAACACTGAAGCGGACCTTTATTGTTCCGTTGTCCAATCAATGGGTGTTGAACTTGAATTGTAGACCATATCCAATTTGTTTAATGGCTTTCATCTTGGCCTCGAACGCTTCATGCAATAGACAATGGTGTGATCCGCATTTGCTTCTCTTCTCCGTTTTGCGTCCGTATGACTTTGTCCCCACTTTCTTGTGGCCGAAATGAAGTCCGTCTGATTTTCGCTGGGTTCATCTCCTATGACTAATGTCACTTTTTGAGTATCCTCATACACCTATACTTTTCTCCCAATCACCGAATCATTCAAAGTGCGAAAATCTGGTATTTCTCCGTTCCTAGTAGTTTCCCCGAGAACCACTCAGCCAAAGATATGTTCTTTTCTTGTATGTTTCACAATTTCGGCAGTCATACAACCCACTAGAGTTTGATATGACCATTTCCCCAGGGTTCTGTCAATTTATGTTCTCAGTTGTCTGTGCAGGTTTTATCCTTCTATCAGCCCGCATTCATGCAGCCTCGCATTAGATAACAGTAAATTTCCTATATTTTGAGTTGAATATTACTGTTTAAGGAGAAAAAGGATACGAGTGCATGTGTAAAAAATATGATATTTTAGAGGCTGAGGGTGTTGGCGTTAACGGACAGCACGAAGGATTCCCAATTGAAGATCTAACACCCACAACTTTTATAGTATTCGTTCTGCGTAGACCAAAGGCAAAGAGAAACACCGGAGTCGGTCGTCCAAATTACGAAGCATATTTCGGGACCAAATCGAACCACGAGTATGATTGCTTAACTAGCTAGGGATTGTGCACGAGCGGACGAACATAACACGACGGCGTTCCGAATGGGGTGGGTGCTTAACCGTGAGCCTTCCGCTAAACAATTCGGCTTAAACAGCGAGTGTCAGCATCCAGTGTTCAGTGATGATGATGATGCTGTGGCTAATAATTTTTGGCAATTATGAAACGCTAAAATATAAATGTACGGAGGTCCTTATTCCCAATATCCTTAATTATTTGTCCAGCTTTAAGCAAATACGAATGCAAATATGAGATCGTTCATCCATAATAGGAGATGTATTTCAGGATGAGAACCTTTGTGGTTATGATAGTTTAGTTAGGTAGGGATCGGCTACCAACAACAAAACGCTAGACGACGGCGTTCCAAATGGCTTTGTTAGTTGACAGCCAACTCCCAGCTAAACAAGTCTACTTGAGCAGTGAAGGTCGGCGATGTTTGCTAAGTGAGAATGATGTAAGTTAACGATTTTCGGGAATTCTTTCAATATCTTAGTGGAGATTGGTTCTCACTGTATACGAGCTTTGGGGATAACCTGATAGGCATACTGTTGGTTGTATTCTGAAAACTGGAGTACATTTTCGATCATCCATGGAAAAATTTGGAAAGTCCACTCTTATCATTGTGCTCTCACTTCTATCTTCCTACTTTTTTCAATCTCAGCAGCCTCTCTAGCTTCAGATACTATGGAGGCATTCCATATTCTCATGCTTATTTATCTTTTTTTCCAAGGGTACGTCATCTGACTACATTCCAGTAAGGTGCCATCAACCGGTGTCGCATCAAATCACTGGTTTCAGAGACGCACAAGTTCAGTTATAATACATTTCTATAACATGAAATTTGAGAAGTGATTGAATTGATTTTATGGACTGATGCCCAACCCACCTTTTTCTAGGCTTAGACCTAACCGGATAAACTAGTGGTCTAGTAAAATCTTGAGTATGTAATATCCTCAAACTCTGAATTTGAGGTCACAATATATGCTCTTCCCTGCAAAGCCTTCGATGTAAGAGTCACAGACACGCTAGGATGAGGCTTGTCACGAATCAGAACAGCTCCTGCATGAAATTTGTCATGTAGTTGGCCCATACATTGTGAATTTTCACTTCTGAATAGCCATGAGTAACGAGGATGACTGAAGCATACTTATGAAGCAAAATGCCGAAAAAACATTAAAATTCGCACTCAGCAAGTGTCGACGTTTTTGGTTACAGAAAGTTTTATGATCTCGGGATGCTACACATCCTTCACATCATGCAACTTGGCTTTCATTTGATATAAACTTCTTGACGTTAGGAATGATCATAGAGACATAGGTTGTTTCATATTACTTCTTATTAAATATATTTCTTATACTGAAGATACCATGTATTCGGGTAAAAATTGAAGATTGATTAGCCAAACCGATAATTGTAGGTTAAGTGGTAACCGGTTATTATGAAGTTTGCGAAGTACTTGCCATAAGTATTTGTTGGTGGTAGTAATGGTAATCTTACGTGATGTAAGATCAGAATTTTATAATGAGATTATTGGGAAGGTGAGTATGCGCTTAAATTTACCTGAAACCACTAGCGAGTTCTTGTTTGCGTTTGTCCCGATGTGGATGGTCTATGTACTTGGAAGATTTTAAAGGTGTTTTCACTTTGGATAAAGTGTACTTATACTTTAGGAACTCTTCAAACATCGAGATGTACTTTACACGCTTGTGGTCGTTAAAGATAAGAGTGATCTTAAGGAGGCTTATATGAAAAATCATGACTCTGTTGGTTTCACCTTCTCTTTTAACCATTTGTTATAGTTTCAGGTTGTGTTGCTATTAAATTGTGGGGCGAATTTCGATATTGTAGGCAACTTGGAGCCTTCTGAAGAGTGTATTTTCTATGTCTGTGATAGGTGAGTAGACTGTGTTTTATGTTTACAGAGTAGTCACCGCCCGATTCACGTAAACAATTTTTACAACCAGCGACAGGTCAAACTTATGTGTCTAAATGAGGATACATCGTTAGTGCCTAAATTCGAAGAAGTTTTCCAGGATTTCTCGGTAAGACATTATGTTATAATTCATGTTTCAGAGCGGTGACTCGGATGAGGATTCTGATGAGGAACAAAGCAAAAAATTAAGACCTGAAGACGTTGAAAAAAGGATCGAAAAACGAAGATGGAACAGAAGAAGACAGGAACTTCTTATGGACTACGAAAGCTTCTCATACTATACTGTCGCATCTTCTGTTGTGATGTTTGACCTAGCGTGGAAATTATCCCAGGAAAACAATTGTCTACTATGGTTAGTAATAAGTTTATGCCAAGGTTTTTATTTAATGGTAAGATTTAATATCTATTGGCTTTCTTGCTTAAGGCATCAGCCTAGTTGCTGCTTCTCAAAATAGGCTCTTCTTAGCCGAGGAACTAGTGTTTCTTGGTATATTCATATTTCTTGTTGGTACTCCTCTTCTTAAATGTAGTAGCCAACATGGGGCATAGGTTGGGCTACCTTCATGTTTGCATTTCGACATAATTTTCATTGTCGAAGGTGAAGACATGGCTCATGGGCTTTAGCACTCAACATTCAGCCAGTGGTTTTAAATTCGAATGACCCTAACTACTTCGGCCGGGCAACAGTGTAGTTTCACCATACTTTACAATGATTGCAGCTTATTCTTTGACATAGAAACATGTTCCAGGGTAAGGGCTAATTATCATTTCTTGTCGGACTTGGAGACGGTTGAGGGTAACATTTTGAAGGGTTTAAAGTAACTCATTTTTTTCCAATCGATACAGAGTTCTTCACCCCTTGGGTTCTTACCATGGAGCTTACTTCTTGATAAGATGTTAAATATTACTTATGAATTTCTTACTATTTACATTATCATTAACAATTTCAGTTTGGTTTCACTAAATTTCGTTTGGTAATCTCTTCAGTCACGCCTTCTCAGTCTAAAGTAAGGGTGTGCTTTGTATCACTGCATCTTTTTGAAATCAGTGCATCGGTGCGTCGGTGGCACAGTGGTTAGGACTCTCGCCGACCATGCACATGGTCCGGGGTTCGATCCCCTGCCGGCGCACACCCGATATCTATGGTCGGCCTGAATTTGGGCTACCGATATCCATGCTGAAAATTCCACACTTGTACTGAAAATACGGTGTGGAATCAAGCTGTAAATCAAAAACAAAATCAAAAAAAAAGATTGGATTTATACAGATTTTTAGATAAATTTCATCCAGCTTCATGTCATCGAAGGTTGCTAGGTAGTCAGTAATGATGTTACTTCCAAAGATTCTGGTGTAGAAGGGAAAACAATCGATCGTTGACTGAATTTACAATATGTATGACTCAAATGGTGTATTCGTATTTCAAAGACTAATATCATTGCACTTAAGCATGCAGATAAATTCCCACTTTACAGTCGCCCAGTTCCGTTATGTCCTCTTTATTGTCCATCTAATTGCTCTTTTAACCACGTATTTAGTACGGCGCTCTACTTTGAAATTTGGTTCAATTCAACCAACACATGCTTCTCAGTATCTTTGGGAAGCTAACATTTCTTTGTGTTGAAGATTGACGTTAGGGTCTGCTCTGAAGACTTCATGTTCACTGTTATCAATGCATTTGCATTCGTAGATGACAATGGAACTGCCTGTCAGTATTCTCTTCTCCCTTGGGTGTTTTGTTTTCCATTGTCAACTAAGGCTTGCAGCACGCTGCTTACCATTTTTCATAACTGACTGAAATATAATGAATGTGATACACTTAAAATCAACTCTTCAATTCGTTTTGTTACCTTCATGATTATAATGCTTGTCAAGCATACTATACATAGGTAAACTGAAGCAATTAAAAGTTTATTTCTCAAGTATTTAGACAATTTATTGTCAAACATCTACAAATAACTGGTATATATATATATATATATATATATATACTACTTTATCATTAAATAGGGTTATCACTCAGCAGTGCGGTTATTTCTTGATAGAATCAAAATCTTAATAAAGCTGATCAGTGGGCAAAATGTATTCTTTCCGATAACTTCATCATCAAGTCCTACAGTTATATTTCCATATTGGCCGTTATTCGAAAAACTTAGTTTTACATCCTTAGGAATCGACCACTGGCTAAACAAAGGTATGGTTAAACCATCAAAAGCTCGATATTCGACCACCTGGTGGAAAAAGGTTATAAAGCTAGTATTGAAGAGTTCTTGTATCATCTACTGGGTACCGAGTAGTTTCCTGAAAGCCTCTAGGTATTAAATACTCCAAATAGCAGAAGCCATTGTGACTCGCTTACGACAACCGGAGCTCTGAGTGCAGAAGAAGCAGGTCCAGCCGCTGTTGCTACCCTGGTTTGCTGTTGAACATATAAATTCATAAATCCTGTATTATCTTCCTTCACTTATCTGATATTCAGTTTAGCTTTATATTTATGCATATTATTGCTTATAGATGCCTGTGAACTTTACTCTGTCGATATTATTGACCCAATGTTATTTAAAACATTAATGTCGGTAACTAGTTCTTTCATTCTTGTGGACATATAACTGTAGAACCTGATGAGGAAGTTATCTAAAGGAATATACTTTGTTCACTAATTAGTCTTCTAAAATTTTTTAATTGGCATTTTTATTCAATTGGGATCAAAATTGTTTATCATCCAAGCGTAAATTTATACAACCGTGCAGTTCTGTTAGTTAGGTTGAAAGGGAACCAAGAGTAGCCACACCATGAAATTGCACCAATCCCCGAATTCACTGACTTATAGTCAGGGCTGTTTAGAGGATCGAGACTGATTACAGAAATTTGTGGTAAAACTCATCACTATAGATAAGGATTGGTAGAAATTGAGTAGATTCATCCCTACCTTATCATCTTGCTTTTGCAGTATTTCAATTCTTTACTTACTCTACTGTCTCTTTGGTTTTTTAAGAGCGACGAACTCACGATACAATCTATAACTTTGTACAAAGTGTATCAGTTTAAGCTACCACATTTAGGCAAGTAAAAGTGATTTCAAGTTTCCTGACACAACTCAGATCATTGTTAAGTCAAAGGCCATAAATCTTAATGGTATGTTGCAGCTTTGAATCAACAATTTTCCTCATATCCAACAGTCATTCTCAAAGCATTTACTTTTCCAGATATATAAATGTTTTCCATAGCACCGCATAGTATTTGATATGTTTTGTAAATTGGTTTCTATTTTCTCGCTGCTTTTGTTGTGTTTGAAGGTACGGAATAGTGGGACAAACTTCTCAGCTTATCACTCATGCCATAAATCGCGAGCATTATATTGATCAACTAGATTATTTACAAAGCCACATGAGTCGCTTGAGTCATGTTGGTCAAATCCACTCAGGAACTAGTACAAATGATGAAAATAAGGCTAGAATTGAAATTATGTTTGACGATGAGTTAGCCTTATGGCTTTACAGACATTGGAGTTTAAAAGAAACTATGGAAACCAGCATGGTTACAGCGTCCAAATTTAAACTTTTTACCGAAGGAGGACAACGACGTATGTATGAATTCCTTGTACAATTGGGGTATGTCACTGTAATCTCTGGAGTTTCGTTGAAATTTAAATATATTTTGTAGTGATTCTATTTGATAGACATGTGATTTTGGCGTATATGAGTTTAATAGAAGCATTAGGCGATACTTTTGGTGCATGTGGAAAAATAGTACAGTACGACATAAAATCACTTTGATTGGTACTATCTGACGACATAAACTGTTTCTACGACTTCTCCTGCCTTCCTAGACGAGCAATATTAGACGAATTCGGCTTAGATTGAAAGTGTTAGAGCTGATCAAAGCAGCACCATTCCGTGAAGTCATTAACGCTAAATATCAGCTTATAGAGGTTCGTATTGAATTAACTGAAAACTATTCACAGTGGTAAATGTCTACTCACTCCTTGCTATCTTCCATACTTTCGTGTATACTTACAAGTTTCCGTTTAATTATTCACCCTATTAGTCCCGCGATGCAAATGATTACAGTGGCTTTTCGAAATAAGTTCCTATTAAATCCTCTGATTTATATGTTCTAGATAAAGTAAATTACGATTAGTAAATGATCTATAATTTTCGGTAGCGAGGATTTTTCGTTATAAGTTAGCACAGTTAGGACTCCTTATATCCACTGAAACTTTTGAGCATGCATGCATGTTAATGTATTAGGACGACTTGTTTATTTTCACATTTATATGTGTCCTGGTTGTCAGTCAAATATTCGTATATCCCTTCATTTTGTTTGTTAAGAGAAACAGACAGTTAATTGATATATTTATAGCCTTCTAGGGATTGCGCACCTCATATGTTTAGTTTCATGCACCCTATTAGTTAAAAGCTTAGATACAGAGCTGTAGCTCATTGTTCCTAGCGTTGATCTTCCAGTCAGTAAGTTAATAGTCGATATGTAGCTCTATTTACTAATAGTCTGTTGACTTAACAAATGTAATTTGTTGTCGAATACACAACTGTCTAAACAAATTTTGTAAGTTGTGTGTCTTTCTAAAACATCTGCTGGATGCCTATTTAAAGTGTTTTATATATTGTGTTTACACCAGCCTGCAGGACGAAAGTTTTTAAGTACTACTCGTGAGACCAGTACTCAGTAAAAGGTAGATAGCAGCCATAAAATTTAGCTGAAAACCAAAAATTATTTGGAGATATTTACAGGAGAATCCCAGCTTTTTATGCGCGGTTGACACCTCACTGGCATTCCATTCCATCTATTTGTGTGTATTTAAGTGTATCGTAAGCAGTCTAGGAAAAATAAACCGTAATTATGTAAGGCAGAGATCATTTTAAGAAATAATTTAACTTGTTCTACGCACAGATTAATGAGTCTGTTTTTAATGGTACAGTTTAAATGGTAAAATGAAGAAATAAAATACCGGTCAAAATATCAAACTTATTCAGGGATAAGATGTTTTACATACGATTGCAGGTGTATGTTTTAGCAATTGAATTAGCCCTATGTTATGAATTTTACAAATTACTTATTACAGAGGTTTGTATACTTAAATGAGTTCACTGTTATTCAAATTTGGAAATACTCCTTAGTATGTTAAGGGCCTGTGGGGAGGCGTGTTACATTAGCTTAAGTAGGCGACTTCTAGCCAATTAGCCCTAGGTTCGAGTCTCACTCTGTCTACTTCAGCGTGAACAACTGGGTAGATTATCAGGTCTCACATAGTAAGTATAACTCAGAGCCCGCTAATCTGGGTATGTGAATTCTAACCAACCAACTAAAGTTTAAGATCTAAATATAACTACTGGTTCTTATTGTACTTTTGTTAATTTTTGTTAGGTGGAGTAAAGTTATTTTTCATATGATAAATATTTGTACCCAAAGTTTGACAGAAGCAATGAGAATTTCAGTCTTGCTCTGATTGCTTTAACAAGACAGTTAGTTTATACAATTGACTACTACCACACCAACGTAGAATGTTGCACAAAAGTTTCAATTTCGATTGACATTATTCTGGGTACATAAATTCTTGTTTTCGTAAAGGATATATACACCCCGTTGTCGGGTTATCACTGTTCTTTCTCTCTGATCTTTTCTCTTCAGACTTCCAAGACGTGAATGTGCACAATTATATTCCTCAATGAATAGTAATCTGCGAGATACTCTTAGTTCTCAGTTTTTACAGTATGGTGAAAGATATGGGTATGTATTTTACGTGTTTCAATTTCGGTAAAAATATATACCAACAATAAATGTTCATCAGTTTGTTTAGGACAAAACTACTTTCGTCTAATAGTTATTTCAGGTATTGTAAATAGGTAATGTAACTTGTTTTCACGTAAAAGAAAATTATTGTTTAAGTAGTCGGTTAGTTTTAACGGTTTATTGCGTGCATTTATAATGGGTAATACATCATGTAAAGTTACTCCTGGTCACATTTATTGTCGGAATTTTCTTATTCACGTACTTGCATATATATATATATATATATATATATATATATATAAAGGCTTAACATTTCTCGCAAACCCTCAAGTTTTTTCCATCTGTAGAAGCTGGTTATTTTAATTCATTGGATTACATACTTCGGGAAATATTAGTATCAACAGCAACAGTTCATCACAGACAAGGAAAACAACCTAAAATCTAAGTGGGAGAAGTCTAATTTTAGTTGGGCGAAGACTCAGTCACCCGAAACAGATTTTTCATCTACCAGTGTATGAGTCACATTTATTATGTGAAGGCTGATGATATTACCCGTAAACGTTGGAAAATATTTTCTGAAGGAATTCTGGCTAGCATTCATCCAGAATACATATATCGGGTCTTACCGATTTTTAATTGAATATAGAATGCAGAGGGAAAATTGTTTGACTGGTCTGTTTGTGTGTAAGCTAAAGTTAAATTCAAATAAATCCTAGAAGTTATCCTATTTTATTTATCACTGGCTGTGTTTCGACTTACTGTAGTAGATAACACTGGCAACTTTTCAACGGTTTATAAAAGTTTATACATGAATTTGGCTTTATAAATTTATATAAAACAGTGATAGAACAGACATTAGTGCAGAATAATCAGGATTCATTTTATTTTGTCAGCTCTCGTCAGCTGTACACAACCTGTAATATTTACGAAAATCAATTATCATACAATTTTAAAATACACTTTATTTATCATCATGAATCAGTCCTCCAGTAGGGATTGTTGTAATAAGTCATAGAGGAAAAAAAACATAAAAGTGGTAAGGTTATTTCGATATATATATATATATATATATATATATATATAGCCGAATAGTTTGATATTGTCAATTACCTAACACCTGATAAACACAAGACACCGAGTAGACGCGTTAGGAGCATTCAAAATAACTAACAGACAAACAGCCTAAGTTTTCTGAAGCTGTCGCAGGAAAACGACTGAAACCACCAGACCTGTGTTCCAAAGGAATCCGTTGTGGCATTTCAGTTATCTTGGTAACTCTTCTTATTAACTTATCTTCTGATTGCGTTACTTTGTTTCAAGCTCCCAATTTGCGCTTGACTTTTATGTTAGATTTCGTTTTTGATCCTTTGAATTATACTCACTGTATGACATCATCATCATCATCTGTTCACTTGGCTTCGTACACACCAAATTATGGTTTTCCAATCTATTATTTTCCGTGATTACGCTATTACTACTGACTTATCACCACCCTAACAAGGAATTTGTTCATTTTTTACGAGAAACATCGCTTCTGTAATATATATACATATATTTCGATAGAGAAAGAAAGACCAGATTTGCAGTATCAAATGATACCATCATTCTATTTCACAGGTTCTCATCAGCTGCTGCAGACTACCTGAAATTACAATGGTTATAAATAATAACATTTCATACTTCAATGTTTGAAAGGTAATAGAGAAAACATCATAAGATGAACGCATCCGGAATAAAAGTATTACAATTCGCTTTAGTTTAAGTTACCATCAGTTTATATACTATCAAAGTATGGAAAAAAGAGGGGTGAGAGAAGACAGAAAACAGTGTTAGCTTGTACGTCAACATGGCAACTCAAGAAGGTTAAAGTTCATCAAATTGAAAACTTGCTTAGGAAGGAGCAAGGAAGCAGATATTTACAAAGTGCAATTACCAGACACCTTGTAGATACGGGTCATTTTGTCGAGATTTCCAAATCCTTCAAAATATTAAACGTACAAAGGACAGCGAATCTACTATGATTTGCTGAAGCAGTTGCAATCAAACGTCTCAGATCAAACTTATGCACACAGAAAGAGAGTGTAGTGAACCTCTCACTCCCTTGGTAACCGTATTACTTTCATTACACTGATAAGTCATACACACTAGTGAGCTCAGCTCACTAAGCAAGCTTTTCAATTAGGTGAACTTTAACCTTCTTGAGTTGCCATGTTGACGTACAAGCTAACACTGTTTATTAGATTTTTCTGTTTTCTGTCTTCTCTCAACCCCTTTCTCCATACTTTGATAGTATATAAATTGATGGTAACTTAAACTAAAGCGAATTGTAATACTTATATTCCGGATGCGTTCATCTTATGATGTTTTCTCTATTACCTTTCAAACATTGAAGTATATATATATATACTAATAGTTTGAGATAACCTTATCACCCTTACGTTTGTTTCTCTATGACTTACTACAATAATCCCTACTGGAGTACTGATTTATGAAGATAAATAAAATGTGTGTTAAAATTGTGTGATAACTTGTTTTATACTAAGTACTGTAGGTTTACGCAGCTGATGAGAACCGACAAAATATTATTATCTCCCTGAATGTTTATATAAGGTTGATCAGAAAAACTGTGTAGTTGAAAACTCGCTTAACCTTAATGATTAATACAGTTTTATTTGTTAGCCTGTTGGATGTAAACACCTTATATGTCTAATAGCCTGTAGTAATATGTGATTACTTTAGTCTGAGTTAGCAAAGTAATGTTCGAATTCTCAATCCGCTGCTGAAAGTTAAGTTTCTAAGCCTTATAAACAAAAAAAAAACTATAAAGCTATCCTCTCCGATTCCAGCGAAGCATAAACTTGTTTTTCCAATTTTTCCTATTTTTAATATGTTCCTTGTGTGTTGAAGTTCCTCTAGCAGTTTGATAGATTTTGTGGTGTAGTGTCGCTAGCCCCACGCCCAACCCTCCCTCTTTGCCCCGGCTTGGGACCGGCTAGAAAACTAGCAAGCTAGTAAACTAGTAAATCAAGAGCTCAAGAAATATGTAGGAGAAAATGGAGCTGGATCAGGCATACGTTGAGGTGGCCGTCGAGTGACATCGTGATCAATGCAAGTCATCGCTCGAGTGGAATCCCAGTGGGAGGCGACGAGTGCGTCGTCCGAATGTGACATGGAGGTCGTTCGTGGAGGAGGAGATGAAATATTATAGGCAGTCGTGGACCCAGCTGAAGAGAACGTCGGAAAATAGAACAAAGTGGAAATGTATTGTTGAAGCCCTATGTTCCATTTGGGACCCCAGCGAATAATTATAATAATAATAATAAAGTTACCCGTAAACAGTCCAAAAGAATTAAGATATGTGCTTAAGATATTATTATATCAAACTGCTCCAACGTGAAAGAAATGGACGCATCTCTACCACTCAAAAATTGTATTTATTCATACCACTAGGCATTAACTGCATGTGTTACTGGATCTTCAGAATTTCACCCATATTTTGACATTTCTATCTTAAACTCTGTCGAATCATGAAACTTTGAGTTGAATAACTACTTAAAATTTAAACATCACTGTACATAAGTTCACTTTCTTTTCAGCTGATATGCTTCTTGTTCTTAGGAATTTGTACTTATAGGGTTTTAAATTCTTCTCATCTTTGCAAAAATGTAATATACTCTGCATTTTGGCTATATTTATAGTAATTTATAAGAAATAATGTAATGAATAAACAAACTGATTTTGTGTTTTCTACTTATAGCCTTTCACGAACAGATCTATTCTTGCCCTCATTCATTGTTCATTTGGGATATAGAACGCCCATGTCAGCGGTTGACGCTGTATTTCTAACTATATCTGCTTTGGAGTGTTATGTAAGTACTATATTGTTTCACTATTTAATTTTAAAACTTGTGATATGAATGACCGACTGACTGGTTTCAATATAGAACTTTTCACAGATGTGCAGCAGTTCGAGTTACCACTCTCACTGCATGTAGCACACAAAGCAGGAGAAGAGAGTAAAGGGAGGTTTAAAAGAGAGATAATAAAGAGAAGTGTGAGTGAGGGGAAAGGAATAGTAGAGTAGAGTTTTATTGTATATGATAAATCACAAAGAGTGATGAATGCATCTCCGCCAGCCATTGAGAACGATGAGTTTCAGCCATATCACAAACTGTCTCCAGCCTTCATTGGCGTTTACCATCCGGAGGACTCCAGTCAGGAAGCCAGTCTACACCTTCCTACCTGACTGGCTTAAACTAAACTGACTGATGAAGCCATGCTTTGGTTTGACCATCACTAGCTCTTCTCCAACTTGATCCTATGTCAGCTAACATTGCTGGTCAAGGAAGGCGATGGTTAGGTATGCGTGACACATGTCTTAAACATCTCAATTGATATAACTTTACAACCTCATCGATTAGTTTTCACTCCTTACCTAGCACTCGACGCCTTACCTCAATTATTGCTCACCTTATTATACCACCTAACGGGAGATAGAACGTAGACACCTATGATCAAAGGCAGCTAGCCTTTTCATATCTCCCACTTTGAATGGCCATGTCTCACAGCCGATAAAGGAGGACAGAGAAAACTGCTGAGGAGAACAGACTTCCTTTGATGGACAGCCGGATATCACTTCTAGGCCACAGATAGCATAAACTGGCATATGCCAAACGAGCCTTCTGTATCCGTGCTGAGACTTCGTCAGCGATCATCTCTCTGGTGTTGGCTGATGCAACTTCCCAAATAAGTGAAGGGGTCAGCAACACGCTCTACCACTTCACTCCTGCCTATCTTTAAGCTAGGAATGAGTCTATGTAGTCAAGTCCGGTCTTGTAACGTCATCTTACATTTGGCGGGAGTGAATCGCATGCCAAACATTCAAAGACTGATGCTCAGGGTGGGCATCCCTGACGAACACCACTGGTTGTCACCACTTCAGATGATGACTGTCCGTATGCTCTCCCCTGGCTGGCTTCATGAGTTCGAGTAGAGTGCCTTGATCAGTGTGATATATTTTCTGGGTATTTCCTTCACATCCAAACATTGGCATAGTAAGTCTCGGTCGACGGCATCGAATGCTGCTTTCAGGTCAAGAAATATGATGATTGTTGAACCCCGGCGGCGAGTATGCCTATGTTCCAGAATCTGTTGAAGGGTTAGTATATGGTGGATGCACTCTTTACATGGTCTAAAGCCTACCTAGTTCTCTCGTGCTCGTTCCTCCTGAGCACCACTTAATCTACACATGATCATTGAGCCTAGAACTTTATATGTAATATTAGTCAAGCTAATCTCCCTGTGATTATCCCAGGAAGACTTATCTACGTTCTTGTATACTGGGATAACCAATGACTAAAAACAACCCAACGGGACTTCCTCTGATTCCCAGACGCTGCCTAGTACTTCAGTTAACGTTGACAATAAACTGTTTACACCGTCCTTGAACACCTCTGGAGTCATTCCACCAGGTCATGCTGCTTTGCCTCGTTTCAGATTAGTGACAGCTTTTGTAACCTCAGTTAGGGACGGAGGACCTGTGTTTATATCCCATTCAGGGAGGTGTTGAATGTTCGTTAATTTTAGCGTGGTTGTAGGCCAATTGAATTGCTTCTCAAAGTGTTCTCTTCTCTTCGTTTATTCTGAGAGCTAATTATGCTGCTATTTTTCTCAGAGATTGTTTCACTTATCGTTTGCCTTTTACCACCTGTGTCCATGGTAAGTCTAAATAGTTTTCTGGTGTTACCAATCGCCGATGCCTTTTCCATTTGTTTCTCTTTTGTCGCTCACCACTGTTCACGGTCGTTACGAAGGCTTCTTGTTAGTTTGCGTTTGATCAGCTTTCGTTCTTCATCACATAAGAGCTCGCTGGAATCAGTCTTCTTGCGTTAATCAGTTCGGATGAGGTAGTAGAAATCCAATGGCTCTTACTAACTTCTGGTTTCAGGTTATTAACAGCCTTTACACCAGTGTCTACAGCTAACTCCATGTTTTGCCAGGCTTCCTCAGGATGAGTCTTGCTGTCCATATCAGGTTACGCTTTTAGCTTGTGATATGACCATTTTTAAATCATTGGACACTTTACAGTTGGATACTTCGTTTCTTATGTCAGTAGTATGAAATTTGGAAATCGTGACGGCAGAACGAGCTCGAGTGTTCCTTTCCCAGTTGGTAAATTAAAAGTTTGAAGTGTAGTTAAAAAGGATGATATCAATCAAGCAACTAGTCAATTTTGTATACCGTTTCGTTGCGACTATATTTTTCAGTCTTTCAAAAATTTTTAATTTCCAAGCTGTTTAACTGTCCCACTTACGGGGGATTTTTCGATTTAAAGTATCACACGCTACTGTATGTTGTGATCTGTTTCACTATCCAGTTAGTGGTCTACAACAAAGAAAATGTGCACTTGTCACCGTGTTGAAAGTTAGAACTATTATTATGATTCAACAGCCAGCCACACGACTGACTGACTGACTAACTGAGTTTCAGTATGGACGTTTACACAGAAATGCAACCATTCAAGTTGCCAAACTTCGTGTAGCACACAAAGATAGACAGAAGAAATGAAAAAAAAACATATTCGAAATGTCTATAATAAACTAAAAGTTTAGGGAGAGAGAATAGTAACTGTAGGAAAAACATGATTGTTGATTGATATGAGAGATTGTAAGGAATGAATGCATCTGCACTATTGAGAACAACTTTGAGTCATCTCACTAACAGTAGTCTCCAGAGATTCGTTCTTTGAGCCTTGAACACTCCATACAGGCAGTCTCTATCTTCCTGTGTGGCTGGCTCAAACGAACTGTCAAATACTTCATGAACTGATTCTAGGTTTCAGTTTGAACACCGGTAACTCTTTCAACTCTATCCAATATCGACTAACATTACTTGTCGAAGAAGGCGATGGTCCAGCATCCACAACACGTGTCCTAGCCATCTCAATCGATGTAACTCCACAACCTGAAATACTGACTTACCCACCCTACCCAACACTTCACATCTAACCTCAATATTACTCACCATATTTTGCTAATTAACACAGGAGATAAAGCGGTCAAAGACACCTAGTCTTTTTATATCTTCTACTTTCAATAGAAAAATTAACTGTCTTTGAACACCGATGTTTGCCCTCTATTTCCCGTGTTAAGTGGTATGATATGACGGGTTGTATTAAGGTTAGGCTACATATAAAGCTTACTGACTGCCTGATGTTATAAAATTAATTTGTCATATATAGGTTAATGATCATTTATGTAGAGGGGTAAATCGCATTGCTTAGCATACTACTCACTGAGTTTTTAGGAATTTTACTGACCCACTATCAAAGGAGAAATATACGAGTTTCTCGTCACTTAAAGTAAATCGTTTTTTTGACAATCACTTATCCCTCTGGTCTACATCACGTTCAGAAGCTAGCTTTTTTGACCTTCAAAGCATGTTGAAGATACGTAAGTTAGATGTTCACCTTGCTTGAAGTAAGGGATATACAGTGGTTCTTAAAACACGTAGATTCAAAGGTGAATTCAATCTAATACAAGCTAAAAAGTCGTAAAGGAGAGGTTCTAATGTTAGATTGAAAAATTAAGAAGAAACAATATGTGAAGTTAGACACTAGTGTCGAAACAAAACCCATACATTCAAATCAGTATTCGGGCTTCAATTCATGTCATTATGTGTTAGTAAAACTAAGAATAATGAAATGTTAAGTAATGGGGTGGAATAACTCATTAATGTGACATGTTGAGTAAGCTTTAACACTCAATAATAACCCAGATGAATGTATCCAAGAATACATGAAAATAAAGATGAGATAACCTTTACTTGTAAATTCAGCACCAAAAAGCGGTAATTCAAGGTATCTGTAGTGTACTACTACCATACTAAAAAGAAATTTCTAGAGCTGTGGGCTGGATTCTAAGTAGGCTGAGCATTGAGGTGATGGTATTTAAATCAACAGACAATGAAAAGAAGCATCTTTGGCTAAAGGATGATGTGGAGCTCATAAAGTAATTGAGTCTATCTAATACCATGAAATGAGAATGGGTTGAAGTATGAAGCCTGGGTTATTTAAAATAGGGGTGAATGAAAACTTCACGAAATCCAGATAATTAGATCCGAATAAAATAATGAACTTACAAATAAGGTCAACTAAACTGATACATACAGTGAGACGTAACCGTAAGGCAGAATTTTTTTTATTCCTTCACATTCCCAGTGGAACATAGGTCTTCAAGCTAGAGACTTGAAGTTTCGGTAGCCGTGGTGTTCATTTTCACGGGATGGGGTTACTAGCCTCATGCCCAACCTTCCCTCTTTACAAGACTTATTACTGGCTTACTGAGGTAAAGGAGTGCGTCGGCCGGGGATGGAATCCCGGACCACATGAGTGGTTGGCTGGCATTCTTCTGTTGTGCCATCGACGCGTGCAGCAGAATAGGGCAAAGTAAAACTGTCGTGAAATCTAACTTAATAAGGTGGAAAGAGAAATTAATAACCAAAGCCTTGTTTTATCAAGTCTGCTGACAATACGTGTTTTGGAGATGCCTCAGTACCTTTCTTGAATATCTGGAATATTCTGCTTCACTTGCCACAAATGAAATAGAACAGTTGGAACTATAAAGATCAAATTTCGAAGTGGCAACTTACATTTGATATATTTATGGACAATAAATTTCATTCAAAATATCATTAAGTGATAGTTTTTCACAATGTGGTGTATTTAACCGTATTGTATACTCGTATACTGCCCAAGTTTACCGAATTGTATGAGATAACCGCGATGACAGTAGTGGTTCAGTATGAATGAGGCTGGAGGAAATAATTCAGTAAGCTATCTGACATGGTTTTGAAGTAAACTGTAAAACAGTTTAAAAGCTAAGAAATCGTAGCCACGTATTTTTCCCAATTAAATTACACATACGCTTTCTGTAAATATGTTTCAAAATTTGAAGTCATTGAACAACATTCAGTCAGTGATTTAACGTCTACTGACTTGATACTTAAGTCACTATCATTACATAAAAAACAATCTTTCTGATGATTATTAACAGGACTTCATATAGACTAATTTAATTTGGTGTTTTATAAACTTATTCGTGTTGGTGTCTGCGTGTGTTGAGTGGTATAACAGGGTGAGCAATATTGAGGTTAGCTGTCGAGCACTAGGTAAGGAGGGGAAACTAATCAATAGGTTGTGAAGTTACACATGGTTAGGACATATGTCACGCATGCCTAACCATCGTCTTCCTCGACGAGCAATGTTAGCTGACATAGGATAAATCAGGTTGGAGAAGAGCTAGTGGTGTTCAAACGAAAACATGGCTCTATCAGTCACTGAAATCCACTATAGTTAGTTTAATCCAACCACGTAGGGAGGTGTAGACTGGCTTCCTGGTTGGAGTCGTCGGGATGGTAAACACCAATGAAGGCTGGAGACAATTTGTGATATGGCTGAAACTCATCGTTCTCAATGGCTGGCGGAGATGCATTCATCACTCTTTGTGATCTCTCATGTCCGTATGAACCCTACTGTTTTTCCATGTTACTCCTCTGTCTCTCTCACATTTCTGCTTATTGTTGTCCTTTCGAATCCTCTTTTTCTTTTTTGTCTTCCTTTGTGTACTACATGAAGTGTGGTAACTCGAACGGCTGCACTTCTGCGCAAATGTGCATGTTGAAATCAGTCAGACTTTTGAATTGACACTTTGTTCACTATATTATCGTATTATTATTATTATTTGATTTTTTAGAATAGCGGTAACCCAGAAGAAAACTTTCAATCGGCTTTGGATGCAGTAGCGTGGTATGTTATAATTTTCCACCTAGTGACTTTTTATTATCAATACTTTTTTTAAACTAATAGTCAGTTTTGTAAAAATGCTTGATCTTGTATTGATTACCTGTCCTTTAGTAGTATTGATTATTGAGAATCAATGAAATTGCACTAAATGATGACTTCAAATCGGACTTCTGATACTTGAAATAATAGAGATGTTTTTAACTCAGTTGGATGATCTTGATTTAGTTGTGTTCTCCGAGTCCGGTGATTTAATCGTGAAGTTTTCTTTAGCACAGGCCTTAGTGTGTGAATATGTCTTCTGTTGAAGGACAAAGAAAGTTTCTCAGAACAGTCACCCAGTGGAGACAATGCAACCAAATAAATAAAAAATCCAAATAACTTTCCATTTTAAGTAAAGCATTAATAAATCTTTATTTGAATTCCTTAGTGTCTGTCGTGTTGTGCAACCCCACCAAGTATTTATTCTCTACTAGTTTGTTTGTACATGACTTTGTCTGTATTCACTACATTCACATGCCATTGCCACCTTTTTATCCGTCAACCCAGTTTGTTTTATTATTATTATTATTATTATTATAGAAGTTTTTGTATTTCCCAGTGAATGAAAAGCAAAACGATATTGTTTTTACTGACATTTCACTACTTAATGCTGCTAATAGCTTTATCAAAGTATTATTAGACAAAGCAATAAGAAGACGTAATTTGTGTGAATCATGTGTAATGTATTTGCGCAACACATTTCGAACAATCTGGTCACACACGGACTTGTCATAGGAATATATATGAAATTAATAAAGAGTTAAGAGGTGAGAAAATAAACATAGGTCAAGTTAAAAGGACATATTCAAGGTCAAAGTAACAATGACGATCACTAAACCAAATAACAGAGGTAATAGTACAACTGCCCTGACTGGTATCAAAACAAAGTTTACCAAAGAAGGTTTAGTGTGATGAATTGTTTTTGAACGCATAAAGGTGGTTTAAACTTCCTAATTGCTTCCACAAACTTTAGGATACGCTCCAAACACGTTTTATAGATAGGTTTGAAAGATGTATTAACGTCAATTTTATGTCCTGTCTCTATAATATGTTTCGCAATAGAGGAGCTAGGTCTCCTGTTCTCACCATTAATGGGTTCTGAAGATTCTATTTGTTTTTGGAGCCATTTAGGTATATGCTTCGAAGCCAGCCCTTACTTGCAGAGATCGATGAGTCCTCCCTATGTGTGTGTGTCCACACATACACTCAAATTGGTAAATACAGTGGGATGTGACGTCATTTTTCGCATGTTCAAAGGGCTTAGATGGATATATCGGCTTCACATTCTCAATTATTATGATATTAGCTGCATAAAAAGTCTTTTTAACAGCAGCGTTCAGTCTTTGTCTAGTTATCAAGCTGCTTTGATGCCCCATATAGGGTAGCTTGATGTACACTTCTTTCTTAGGGACGAGTTGAGGAGTGGGTCTTGGTATTTCGACTACTTTATATCTCCTGATGAACTTGTCTGGATAATTGTTATCAACCAGAGTTTGTGTCAACTTTCTTTCTTCTTTATCAAGTGTGTCTTCAGTGCATATTCGTTGGATTCTGCTGAAGAGGCACCTTACTAAGGCTGTTTTTCACCCAACAGGGCAGAAACTGTGGTAATTAAGATATTATCCTGTTCAGGTAGATTTTCTATAAATAGATCGTTTTATTGATCCATCAAACCGTCTACTAAGCAATATGTCTAGGAAAGATAAAACAATTATCTTCCCCTACTACAGATGTAAGTGATATGCTGTTCTGAACCTCATTCATTCGATTCAAAATTGAGGTTTCAGAACAAGACTTATCACTTATGATTACAATGTCATCTACGTACCTTCTATAAAGTGGCACATTTTTGATTAAATCCTCCCATAAGCTCTCAATGTACGACATACAGATATCTGCTAAAAGGGGCCTTAATGGACTTCCCATAACAACACCATCAATTTGGCGGAAACAATCACCTTCAAATGTAAACCTAACATTGCTAGTACATAGAAGTAATAAATCCCTTAAGTAAGATACAGGGGACGGGATGAAAAAATTGTGTGTGGAAATGTAATCACAGAAAATGTCAACTGTTTTGAGCAAAGGCACATTAGTGAATAACGAGTTTACACCAAAAGAGTACATATTCTTATTCATAATATTAATGTCGTCAAGAAAATTAACCAATTCAAATGCATATTTTAACACATACTTACAGAATTGTGTTTTGACTGGATGGAATAATTTTACTAACCATTTAGCAAGTTTTTGCGTTGGGGATTCGCACATTGACAATATAGGACGTAGATGATTATTGGGTTTATGTATTTTTGGCAAACCATACATATGCGGAAATTTACATTCTGATGGTTTTAAAGAGTCAAATTTATCTTTACTTATAGCATTTAGGCCATGAAGCTTCACTCGATTAGCTGTCACTATGCTCTGCAACAACTGAATATCTTCTGAATTTGCTTTTATCATCAAGAATAGACATCATTTTAGATTTGTAGTCACTTTTATTCATAATGACGACTCCAGAACCTTTATCAGGTTTCGTAATAATTATATTAGAGTTTTCCCGTAGCTATAAGTATAAAACTTAGGCACTGTGATAGAGTGTAACTCCATTATGGATAAGATTTTATTTTGATGTGATTATGAGCAATAGTTTGTTCTCGAAACGTCAACAGTTAATATTACTGTATAGCACTGTGTGATTTATCAAAATAAAATCTTATCCATAATGGAGTTTTCTCGTAGCTCTTTCAAGGCTTTGAAATGTTGGGAACTTAAAATACTTTTCTCCTTTGGGTTGTTGTTTAAAAACTGGTGAGTTATATCCGCCATCTTGGCTTTACACCAACCCCGATCTTCATCGGGTGTTGCGGCAAGAGGTTTGAGTTGGTCATACAAGTTTTCAAACTCAGCACGGATGGCTAAATCCGTAAATTGCGTGCGAGGAACACAAAATTTAAGTCCAAGGGATATAGCTTCTTTCTGATGAGTAGATAGAGTAATATCAGAAAGATTTGTAACATATTTATCAGGATTCACCGGAAAAAGATCTACGCGGTTTCGATCCTCAACTGAACTCTTCAACTTATTTTGTGTATTTGTCTTTGTTTTCTGAGTAACATCTTTGCAAAGCTGAAGGAATTTCATGTGGCATATTATTGATAAATCGGATAAAATAAGTGACGCATTGGTATGAAGAACAAGTAGTTCTTGTAACGTTTGTCTAACATTTTCGATATGTGACTTTGTAAGACTAACAAGATTAGAGATATTTGGTTGTAATTTACTGAATTTCAAAGTTTTATAAAATTGCCTCGGGAAGGAATGATTTTTAATACATAATTCATAAAATTCCAACGTGTCACGTTCGACATTTTTACATTTAAAGTATTAAATCCGAATTTACAAAATCTCAGCTTATATATAACAACTTAATCGTCATTTGTCAGCATGGGGTAATTTTTGCATTGTCAATTTGGCCAATAGGCAACGAAAGATAACAAAACCATGTGCGGGTTGTTGAATTCGATGAGCGTTTAGAATAATAAAAACAGCATGTGTTCACATAATGAAGATGCTTATCACACTTGTGTTGATTTTGTCACTTCATTGGGGGTGGGTGGGATGCGGAGGTTTTGCATTCAGGTCAAGTTCTGGATTAGTGCATCATTCCTATTCAGACAATTTGGATTCCATTTGATATGAAGTGTTTCTGATAGTAGACATTCTTTGTGATTTCTGAAATGCTTTTTCTGGATGATTTCCATTTTGTCAAAATGAATTTTATGGTCTGATTCTATGGCGTATGATTTTTCAAGCTTTTCTAGTTTAACTGGATTTTTCAGTTGTCGAATAGATGCTCTACGGTGTTCATTTCTTCTGACTACCTTGATTTCTCGCTAGGTTTGTACTATATGTATCGCATCACATTCCAAGCATTTTATTTTATAGACACAGTTAGTGGATCCTTTGGAATTTGGTCTTTTACATGGAAAAGATTGCTTTTTAGTGTGTCTGGTGTTTTGAAGAAAACTCTGATGGTGTGTTTAATGACTACTCTTCTGATATCTCAACTGTTTGTAGATAACTTTGCCTACATTCATTACATTCACATGTCAATGCCACTTTTTTATCTGTCAACCCAGTTGTTTGTTTTTTTAACTTTTTTGTACTTCTATAAACATTATGCCTCTGAACAGTCAATGGGTCAATCTGCCTAGTGTATATATATTTCAATAGCCTCAGTGCCTACAAGTTCATAATGTCTTCAACAGACCTATACTGTGTCTGTCTAGGTTAAACTTTTCTAACCAGGAAAATGCCTGCTTAATAATCGTCCCGCATCAAAAATAAACTCTTCAATTACTTGTTTTATTGAAATATATTTGAGGTTAATTGTTTGAGAATTTTTTGGTAAACGTATTAGATTGAATTTAAATATTTTAACAAATTTACTTGTCTACTAATTTCCACCCTTTCCATTTTGCGATCGGTTGACAAAGTGTTAACTAAGCTTAGGAGTAGCACGGTCAGTATTGTTTTAACTGTAGCACACTTCTAGTTTGTGTTCCACATCTTTTGAGGCACAATAAATTGTGATCATTATACACTGTTTTCAGTGTTAATTTCTTACCCAAGAGGTGACTAATTATTGCGTCATCCATCCAGTTTATGAAGGTCATCAGTTAGTTGTTGACTTCAGCATTGGACGACTTAGTAGGTACACATTTCAGACGGAAAGTTACATATAAGGTAAAGCAGTATCTCTTTACTTATTAATGTCAGTCATTGTAAGACCTAGGTTTAGGGCTTTCCGTTTATTAACTTACATTTCCTAGCACGAATTGTTTTGTTTTACTTCGAAATAAAGTTCTCGAATACTGATTTGATTTAGCTTAATTGTACTGATTACATACGCTAAGCAAAATACCAAGTCGTCTCATCCTGGAGAGACTAAAAGATGCACTGAGTGCAGAACTCCATCCAGAACAAGCTGGATTCAGGAAAAGTAAATCATGTGCTGATCGAATTGCAACTCTACGCATCATCACAGAACAAAGAATGGCATGGCAGTCAAACCTCTACCTGAACAACTTCATCGACTTCAAAAAGGCCTTTGACAGAGAGGTTACCGAGAAGTAATTTGGTAACTGCTTCAACACTACAGCGCGCAGTGCCCAAATCTTTATCAACCTCATTCAACAGCTATGTGACAACGCTACTTGTCAATTGATCCACAATGGAAAACTCAGCGAGGTGTTCGAAGTGAATACAGGAGTAAGACAAGGCTGCCTATTATCATCGATGATATTCCTAATTGTGGTGGACTGGATTTATGCATCAGACTGTGCGAGGAGAACGAGAAGACAAAAATATGTTGGACCGATAAGATTATTCTAGAAGATCTGGATTTCGTGAGGGATTTATGTCCAATGTCACACAAACTCGAAGACTTGCAGGCAAAAACCAACAAATTGGAAGAAGAGGCTGGCAGGCGGTAAATACTATCTTCCACCCAATTTTTGGTCATATTTCTATGACCGATTGTCCTGGATAACCTCTACCAATCATTGTAATCTCATGATAGTTGTAAGGTATTCATAACATGAAACTCTTTTGCCTAATTGGATATGTAAAATTCCTTAGCATACATAACTATCAATCCCTAGGTTTAAATCCTATAAATAATAAAAATCCTACATTTTTAATTTTCTAATATGCGTTTGAATTCAGTCAGTAGTTTTTGGGTATAGAGTTCATTCAGGAAGTTTTCAAATCTTTGTCCTCTTAAAGTAAGTTATAATTTCAGTGTAGCACAGCTCTGAAGAAGAAGTTTGAAATCACCATAGTGTCTGTCTGTCATCGTAAAGGGGGGGGGGTACACAGAAGCTACTGATGATTTTTAACATAAATAGTATTACAGTGGCATTTATGTGATATCGTGTTTGTAATGTAATGTAATTTTTAGCAGTTAGTTTTCTTGAGTGCCAGCATACGTTACACATGTTTCAAGCTCCACTGTACTGGTCACTGTCATAATTTAGACCCTTTTTGCACGTTTATCAATTGGACAGTATAAATCGTTTAGAATCTAAATCACTGTGATTAAGTGATGTTTATTATTGTTTTATTACAATGAGAAATGAATGTAACCCTTCCATCAGCAAGTATGCTGCATAGCTGAATCTTAATTACGCCATAAACAGCGAATTCTTGTGTTTAATTTCGATAAAACTTACTATTATTCCATTGGGCTCCGAGTGGGATATAGGGCTTCAACAGCACATCTTCATTTCGCCCTGTTCTGTGCAGTCCTCTTCTGCTAGCTCCACGATTGCCCATAAGCTTTCATCTCCTCTTAACACAGTATCCTCTATGTCACCTTCGGACGCCTAACTCGTCGTTCCCCACTCTGGTCTCACTCGAGCGATGGCCTAGTGTGCGATGTTGCCCGACGGTCTCCTCAGCTTGTGCCCGATCTGTCTCCATTTTCTTTGGAATATCTATTGAGCAATAGGTTCTTGATTGGTTCATTCTCAGATTTCCTTGTTGTCAGTTCTTTCTAGCTGACCATCTGATCTTCAGCACCGAGGCAGTGAAGGCAGTTGTTGATAAAGGTCTGCAGCTGCCTGTTGCAAATACTTTTCGTGACGCGCACTTCACATCCTTGACCTATGTGTAGAAACTGACCGACTTTATTTATTTATTTTGATTCTACACAGTATTTTTTGTACAAGTATGGAATTTTCAGCATATGATATCGGTAGCCCAAATTTGCAGGCCGACCATTGATATAAGGTGTGGGTCGGCAAGGGATCGAACTCCGGACCATGTGCATGGCCGGCGAGAGCCCTAACTGCTGTGCCACCGACGCACAGCTGTTCATGCTGAGTTAACATTTCTAGGCTGATTTCAGAGAGATGAAGGTCTGTCTTGCCTGTCTAGATTATGTGGTTAGGTGTTAATTAACCTATTAGCTCATAATTACTAACCAGTTCTTCTTTGAAATAATAGACAAGTTTGCATGATGATGAAACGTCCGCCCGCCGTCAAATATCAAAGCTTCGAGAACACCACACACTGTCTTTACCTTCTCGTCTTGACTAGTATTGAAACGGTAGAAGACGAAAGACTTGGTAAAATGAAAGTTTATTTGGAAATCGGCATCTCTATATACCCAAATTATGTATACCTTATCTTCAACGCACCATTTGCACAGATCTTCGTTTTGTGTTTCTTTGTGTTCTTTTCGCGTCTCCCATGTATCTCAACAACGCTCTATCATTTGCCTTCTTTGACGTTAAATGTATTTCCCTGCTATTTGATGTTTTATGCCGATGAAGGTATCTTTATGTACTGCTGATAAATCTTATTAGTATCACTCGTCACACTATGAAGCGACTATTTGAGAAATACATACACGGCATCCATTTCTAAATCTATTTCTTTTATGTACTACAATTTTCATTTATACCTTACCTAAGTCCAACAATCTTTTCTTTTGCTTTCTGTGGTTTTATGTACAACATTTACAAAATTGGCATTGTTGTGTTTTTTTTTACTTTAGTTGGAGTTTACCTTCCTTAGATAAAGAACTACTACAGGCAGAAATGCATCTCCAGAATCTAGCTAATCAAGTGCGAAATCTACTCGATACAGATGATGTAGTCGCTTTTGGACCATTTCTATATGTATATATTAGAAAGGTAGTTTCCAGTTTTATAAGAATATCATTTGAATTTGTCAAATTCTTATAATTATTTAAGAAGTTGCATTTAGTGTGTGTGTGTGTGTGAAACTTCATTTTTATGCGAATAGATTTTGTGATGTATGTGTATGTGACCCTAAGAGATTATAGTGTATAAGACTGAGTTTTCATTTTTCTATCTTATGGTACTTGATAGGTATTCACTCTTTTTCCGTTTCAATAGTACTTTGGTTTTTATTAAACTTTCCAGGCAGTTAAAGCACCTATCATTTATCAATTTTAGTTTACCCTGAACTCTGGCAATTAGGCTATGCTGTGATCTTGGCTAAACGAGAGCACACAAAAGACGAGAGGGGAAAGTGAATATATATGTACACAATAACGTATAATTCATACTTTGATTGGACATTAACTAGTGTCATGCGTCTATTCCTGTGTTTACTGCAGACTGAACTCTATCAGGCAAGATTCTATCCTTCAAGATTGCAGATACTTCTTGCTGACTGTTGAGTGTCAATAAGCACAAGGCTTCCTGCTGGTTGCCTTCAACCATCTAATAACAACGTATAATTGAAGAAAACACTAGGGATATTTCAGTTAGTCTGCATTCATGATCAATATAATAGTAGGCGTATTTTATGTAGGCCAATTCTAACTCGTTTATTTCCAGACTGGACATCAATCACCATATCAGTTATTCATGTCCTAAAATCTGTATATGTACTGTGGTGGTTTATCACATTGCTTTTGTTGCCTGTATGTTAAAACTCCTCTTTGATAAAATACTTGTTGATTGGTTTCTACAATGATATTACTAGTTATGTGATAGCAACTTTTGATGGCTTGTAAATTTGTAAATATGTGACTGATTGGCGTGGGCAGCAAACGATATTTTAATTATATGCTCCGAATCTTGTCTTACTTTATTTGTATTTGAGGGACCAGCTGGGATTGCAATCATCTTATGCATCAGGATTTCATCATGAACTGACATCGGATAGAGAACCATTGGAAAACCTGGGAGTACTGGACAGCTGTTTCGTCCCAGTTTGGGACTCTTCAGCAATCTGATGCCCACTGGTGACTGGGCCTATTCAGGTAGGAATTTACCTGAATTCTAGTGGAAAATCGTGATCAGTGGGGTGCAGCAGGTCGGGTGTGAGGGGAAATACCCTCCGATGACATTCGCTAGTGGTCGCGCCATTTCGTGAATTGGCAAAAGTTGGAATTCGTGGGCCATTGGATCGGGTCCCACTGGCTTGATGGTCTACGAACTCGCATTGTAACCAGAAGGTCGTGGGTTTGAACTTCAGTGGGTGGGTACTGTTGGAGAGTTCCGAACTAGGACGAAACGGCTGTCCAATACTCCGAGGTTTTCTAGTGGTCCTCTAACCGATGTCAGTTCATGATGAAATCCTGAAACTAATCAAATCCCTACAAACCAACACTTGAATGTCTTATATATCAATTGTTCGACTGAATTACTGACATCGGTTGTAAATACACGAATTCTGGAGAATTTAGTACTACCTTCCATTATGATAACTTTCATGATTGCCATTTATGGTGTCAAGCCTATCATATATTATGATCTGAATAATTTTGGTTTCCAAAGGAAACTTCAGTGAAATTTCACCTCCTCGAACTGGGCAAATTGCGAGTTTGATTTGTCTTCATCGTCTTTATTCTCTACTTTTGTTCAGAAGGATGGACAGATTTGTCAGCTTTTAAATTCAACCTTTCCCCCACTGTATATCTTGACTGGTCTGACGTGTAAAATTCTGTTTACATGGTTCTATGGGGGCCAACTTTTGAAGGTATTTTTTGATAGGCTTTCATTACATTTAGTTTACCATTAGGTACTAAGTGCAATAAATTCTCAAATGAGAATTGACCTATTAATATATATAAAACCTTATGAATGCATAGGTATGTTTGAAATTCGTGTGTCTGAACTTTTCAGTAGTGAATTGCTTTCATTCAAATAATTACTATCAGACTGAATTTCCTATCTCCTTTTCGTCTTTTCTTTTTTTGACAACTAAACTGTATGCCTTTTTCCGTTGTTTTTTCTTTAGAGTTCTTTGGTTACTCACGCATTGAGAAACTCTCAGTCATTAGCAATTTTATCCAAATATATTCTTATGGCCAAAGCATCAATGAGAGCGAAATTGGTAGGTTTTATTGATAATGATTACAATGCTTTATGGATAAAATTTTATTTTGATAAAATCACAGTGTTATGCCGTAATATTTACTGATGACCACATTTCCAGCACAATTTATTACTGCTCATAATCATATCAAGGTACTCCTCACATAACTTTCTTGCTTCATTTATATACATGAGTAAAATTTGATTAGACATTTGAATAAAATCAATATAAGACTTGCGTGAAACAGAATGGCAGATGAAGTACATTCGGCATGAATATTAGTGTTATCAATAAAATACAATACGATGGGAAATAAGACGAGTGTTATTAGTCAATAAGATGTTATGTCAGTAAAATAAATAACTTGTTAGAATGTTGTAATGTGAATTGAATACATTTTAATATTATTTATCATCTGATTTGATTGGTTGTAATAATATCTTCCATATCTCTGGTATTTGCATTGAGTCATTTCTATTGCATGTGTTAGGTGTAGGCTCGATGAACAAGGATTGAGTAATCAACCTCTCTCTCTCCACCTACCTATATTACTCTTTAGAATTTTGACTCTCTCTCCCGCCCTATTGTGTGGTTGCGTGTTGATGCATGCAGTGCTACTACTGAGTTTTTGTCTGAATTACTTATCTTTGTGGGATCAACCATTCTAAACTTAGCTAAATTCTTATGTTCTGATAATCTGACTACCCCCGATCTACTAGTGTGACTAAACTTACAGTCACTCCAAAGTATTTTCTAAATTATATTGGAAATAAGTTGGAAAGTTGTGTAAGTAACTTCATATAATAATGAGCAATAAATTGTGCTCGAAACGTGGTCATCAGTAAATGTTACTGTACAACAGAGTGTGTGATTTTATCAAAATAAAATTTTATCCATAATGGAATTATACTTTACCAAAGTGCCCAAGTTTTATCCTTATACAATGCTTCTCTCTCTCTCTCTCTTTCTCAAAAAGGGTCGTGGCAGAAGAGTAGTTCAAATGCCTTTAATTGTCTGCATAGACAGTAAAACAGATGATAATTACATTTCTCTCCTGGGCATTCCACCAATACACGGAGATGATGATCGGAAGTAAGTATTCTGTGTAATATCTTGTCATTAACATCTTGTCGTCTATAGTTTATTCGGTCAAGCCTTTGAAGCTGCTATAAGTCGTACTAAAGCACGAGCTGAATTCAAATACTTCAGTACTAATTGTAAGTGTTGATTGATAATTGATATAATTCATTTCTTTTAGGCATTGAACTTCATCGAGAAGATATGCTGAAGATATTCGAAGCTCTTTCCAACCTTTTAACTTAATTTTTTATTTTCTAGTTTTCTACTGATGTTTTTTGTTGTTGTATAGATGTGAAGTCTTGGTGATTAAAAATCTTCCACTCTCTTCCACTTTCTTTCTTTATGGATACCTTTTTATGTCGTTGTATATTTCTTATTGTTAATTATCGTGTACATACATACATGGATGTTCTTTGTCTCCACTACCAGATTATGGAATTAATAGAGATTTTCAGTTGAGAATCTCTCTCTCTCTGTTCCCTTTATCTATTATGACAAGGATTTTCAACTACTGGAGAAGAGAGCTACGAATATAAAGGCATATCCATCATTCTGTATATTCGTAGTTGGTGTATATTTTGAAGCATTCATACCCTGCATAACCTATCCATGCAACTTTCCAAAAATACTAACTGTTATATGAATAAGAGACAATTAAGAAATTTATTTCCGTTGTAAAATATATGAAAATTATCATACATCTTCTATCATGCATTTTAAAGTATTTTGTTAACTGTTATATTCGTCTACATAACTGAGAGAAAAAAGCTTTGTCACTTACAATATTAATAAAGTGTTTAATGTCTTATGGGGTTCAGTTGGTGTTGTCAAATAAATCTGTACTTTTGGTAGGATTTGTATCAGTGTCCGCTTGTCGATATCTGAATCAATATGCGCTTCTGTCTGTCTGTCTGTCTGTTTTTGACATAGAACTTTGCACATATGTGCGGCAGTTCAAGTCGCCACACTCCCTCCATGTAGCACACAAAGCAAGAGAAGAAAGTAGGAGAAATGCATATTAAAGACAGTAGACAGAGGTGTGAGACAAAGTTATAATAATAACGAAGAACAAAACAGTTTAATTGGAAATCATGAGTCACAAGGAGTAGATGCATCTGCGCCATTGAGAACGATTTTGAGCCATGTCACCAATTGTTTCCAATCATTGGTTTTTACCGTCCCGAGGACCCCAACCAGGAAGTCTACACCTTCCTACGTGGCTTAGACTAACTGTTGTGGATTTCATTGACTGGTGCCATGTTTTGGTTTGACCGCCGCTAGCTCTTTTCCAGCCTGGCCCTATATCAGCTAACATTGCCCGTCGAGGAAGGCGATAACTAGGCATACGTAGCACATGTCCCAACCATCTCAGTCGATGTAATTTTACAGTCTCGTTGACTGATTTCCCCTCCTTGCCTAGCACTCGACGCCTAACCTCAATATTGCCCACCTTATTATACCACTTCACGCGGGAGATAGAACGCAGGCACCTATGATCAAAGACAACTAGCCTTTTCCAGTGGCCAGGTCTCACAGCCATAAACGAGGAAGGAGCGGACTGCTGAGAAATACACACGTGCTTTCGTCGATAGCCGGATATCAGGTCTGCACCAGAGATGGCGTAAACTGGCATATGCAAAACGAGCCTTCTGTATCCGTGCTGAGATTTCGTCAGAGATCAACCCGTTGGGGCTGATGGTACTTCCTAAGTAAGTGAAGCGGTCAACGTGCTCTACCACTTCACTTCCTTTTTCTAATCTAGGAGTCGGTGTAGTCCAATCCTGTAACATCATCTTGCATTTGGCGGGAGCGAATCGCATGCCAAACATTCTTAGATTGCAGCTCAAGGTGTTGATATGCGCTTCACTAGTTGTAGCACAGAATGCGATTTATCAGCTGGTGGTCTTCATAAAAATGACTGATCAATCAACTGCAGAAATGTATCGCAGCCAGTAAAATCAAAAAATACCATGTTTCTGATATGGGGGTTTTAAAATTTAACGTCATGCTGCATTTTGGCTTTAAAGAAGCTATTGCAGTAGTTCCTCCTTAGTCTTATAGATAAAATAGCGCGTAACGTCGACCTAAATGTTTGATAATGGTTTCAAGCAACCAGTTTTCTTGGTATCAAATAACCTCGAAGTTTAAAATGTTATGCTCAGTTCATCAAATAAGTACGGAATAAGCTAACTACAAAAGAACACTAGGTAATTTGTTCTTGAACTCGATCAATATCTTAGCTAACAGGGAAATTGTTTCCTGTACTCCAAAGGCTAAAAAGAAGCCAATTGGGCAGTTTGACGACACGAACCCATTTCCTTTTCTTCAACATCAGAGGAATCGCTAGATGTTAAAACTTGTATGCGCAATGCCTATTTGTGGTTAGTTATCTATTTCTTACTTGTGACAAGAACGACTTCTTACTTTCAACTCACTGTACTTTAACGATCAGTGCTGCTTTGAGAGTAGCTGACCTCAAAGTGAGATTAAAGTCAAACAGTTTCATTTCAGTTGACTATATTTTCCTAAACGATTATCAGTCGGATCAATGTACACTTATGTTTGACGGTTTCTAAACCGCAAGTTACTCAGATAATTAAGTCACTGATTTCTGGAGGGTTTTAGCTGGTTCTAATTTCAAAAATGTAACAGTACAGTGGTTTGGGCTTTAATATCTGCCTAAAGGATAATCTGCGTTTTCTATCCGCCTCTCTTCACTTTTACGAATCATTGCTAAATGAATTGACATCAGAAGTATGTGGGTCAGTTATATTGACCAGTTAAAGAACAGAGCTAGTGCTTGTATGTATTTATAGGTTGTAACTAGAAAAACACTTAACAAGCGAGAATATATATATATGCTGTGGCACTAAATGATAAAAATTCTTTCAGTTGAATGTGTAGAATGCCTTCCATACCTCCTCTGTGTCTAAGTAGACGGACTGGCATTCAAAAAGTGTCTTATTCGAAAAGACGCGCTATAGATCAAAACTGAATGATGGTATAGGTAGTCAATTAGGAAGATTTCGCTGAATTTGATTCCTGATTAATGGCTAGTACTTTACTGATGTAATGTGGGTGAATAAAAGTGTCTGCTTTACCATTGATAGAAAGTTATGTGAATGACTAACTGAGTTTCATACGCAGGAATTTACAACAGTTGAAGTTACCACCAAAGGTGGAGAAAAACAATTGTAATAACTACAGTGAGCAGAAATGGACGAATTCAAAGAAGAGCAGTGAATACACCAGCAGATTATGTTGGTTGAACCAGGTAAATAACACAGTAATCGTGCAGAATAGGTGTTTGGATATTAAAGAGGATATCCAGTTATTTTAAGTTTAGGTTACGGAAAGAATTTAGGATTATTCTAAGGACAGGTTAGGGTTAGGTAAATCTAAGGAAGGAGAGATTAGAGCTAGTTAGCGACAGGCTATGGGTCGTTTAAGGTTAGCTGAAAGACATGTTGTGATTAAGTAGTGTTAGACTAGGGAAAGATTGAGGTTAGAGTTCAGCTAGGGACTCAAATTCGGATTGCTTGTGTCACTGTCATTGATGCGTTCATTCACCGCGAGTCGCTATTCTTTAACTTCACCCAGAATTGTACAGGAGGAAGAACAATCACATGAATAATTATTGGCCTATAGAGCCAACAGTAACAGTTCATGGTTTGATGTGACTAACGCACACAATCAAATATTAGTCTCAATATTGAATTTACTTAGGATTAATAGAAAGAAAATCACACATGTGTTGTCCTGCTGCTTACAGTGCATTTGATACATTCCTGACATACCATGTGGTGTTCAACAGTTGCAAAACACGCTCCCTTGTTGTGCCACCATATGTTGTTTCTGTTGAGCAATTACATAAATGCACTGACTGATTTTTACTTGTATACTTTGTTCCCTGATACATAGCTGTTTCTTCATTGCTTTAAGATATAGGATTGTCCACAGAACCACTCATTTCAAAATGAAATGAACCTTCATCATAAAAATGAAATCTCATCAGTACCCTGGTTTTACATGCTAGTAAAATCTGCACAACCGAGACACTTAACGACAAAATGAGGAAAGTAGAAAACCTGCTATATGAGAACGAATATCCAGGAGAATTCGTGTATGTCCCCATTATGAGAACAGATGGAGAAAAATGCCTGTGACTTTACCGTTCAAAGGAGACAGTCTCTGAACTACTGGCATCGAAACTTGGTTAAACAATAGCTGAGACGATCTTGGCTGCAACACTGTGTTGAAAATTCACCACTCGTTGTACAATTCCAGTGCAGGTGAAGGATTAACTTCTGAGTCCGGCCACTTCAATATGTATTTATAGATTCGTAGAGACAGTTACATAAGTAAAACGACCCGTTGCTTCCATGAATACCGTCCAACATGGTTAGGTCGTATGAGTAATAAAGCCAATCAGAAGTTCTATATTGGCAAGCCTTGTGGATGGGGATCGTGAGACTGATAAAATCTCAAAATTTCCAATTCTACACAAGCTATCACTTAAATTCCATAAGTTTGTACTCCTTCGATTGCTAAGCATAGCTGAGGCAGTTGACATAATACGTTTTCAACCTAATCTCTGTGTTTTCAAGTATTGGTTTCGAAGGGATTTTTGTTTGTTTGGTTGGAGGATTTCATCATGAGCTGACATCAGTTAGAGAACCTTGGTGGGTGCGTATTGCTGGGGAGTCCCGAACTGTCCAGTACTCCCAAGTTTTCCAATAGTTCACTAAATGATGTCAGCTCATGATGAAATCCTCTAACTAATGAAAGAGAAATCCCTACAAAGCCAATATTTGAAAATTGATCTGATCCATACTAGCGACTGGTCCTATTCAGGCAGTTACCTAGGGTTTTAGTGGGAAGCCGTGGTCAGTAGGGTACAGCAGGTTGAAGGTGAGGCAGTAACTCATCTAAAAACACAGTATGAAGGATTTTTTGCACACATCGATGTCATGAAATTGTATCAGCCGGACTACTGAATACTTTCATCAGATGGTGAAATTGTATTGCACCTGTAGTGACCCATTTTATTACTCGTCATCGTAGTATACTTTCACTATGTAATTGGACTTTGATCTGTTTATCACTCTAAAAATTTCGTGTTATCAATTGTTACATTGTACTCGCTCAACTTTTGAATTTTGATTACGGCGAGAATACACTTTCGTACTAATTCTCAAGTGCCTTTTGATTTACGTTGTGGATGTCGAGTAATCACAACGTTGGGACACAATAGTAAACGCGAAGAAGAACTAGGATATACGTGTACGCTAATTTGGTCAAACAGAGCACCACAACACGCCTCCCGAAGTTTTAAGTTTTCGTTTTTAGGTGTACAATAGGGACTGGCTAGAAAGCTACTTTCAGACTACACATTGTGTTTTTATTACGTACACTTTGTGAGATGGATTTAAGCCATACTAGCTAGATAAGCTATCAATCCTTTCCCCTGAATTGTGACTTTTCATGATTATTGCCTTCTTGATATTATGTCTAATAATGCACGTACAAAAACTAAAGTTGTACTTTCTGTACTATTTCTTGATTATTAAACCGTTTTTGGTTCATTAGACTCTCATACCTGTTTAGTTTAAATGGACCTTTTTGTTAAATGCGAGTGTTGGTGTGTTCAGCCAGTGTCTTCCTGGTGTTCGGATGCCGAATAACTTCATATTTGAAAGTTTGAGCCGTGTTTATACGACACATTCGGTTTGGTAGAGCAACAGCCTTGCAGTTTTTCAACAGTTTT